CCAAAAAATCTGAATTCTACAATAGTTTCTTAAATGGTCAATACTGAAAATAAATACTACAACATACTGACTATAGGAATATTTTTGATGAAATACAATGAAGTTTTGTTGGAGCTAGTTTTGTTCGCATGATTAGATGAGCTAATTGTATAATAATCATATTCATCACGACAAAAACTTTTTTATAATAATTTGCTTTGCAATTTACATTGATTATTTTTCAATCAAAACTTTTTAAATTTCAATTTTTAAAAGCAAAGCTTGTGGCTTGCAATGCATGATGGATAATCATAAACATGCGCGATGCATCCAATCGTACGTCAGATGATAATCAAGGTTTTATGAATAGTGACAGCTTGGAGAACTAATTGTAGTCGCGTATGCTCTGAATAGTACATCAAGGAATAATTGTTTGCATTTCATGAAAAGCGTTGATTTTCTTCTTGATCATTGTAAATATTTATAGAAAATTGTTCAACTGTTCGAGTACACGTTTTTCAAAAATCCGAATAAAAATTTTGTCAATATGATTGTGCCTTACCTAAACCTATGAATTATGAACAATGATCACACCTTTGTCCACTTTCGTGGCGGTGCTTTAGTTTTGAATCCGACGGAATTTTGCGTACTACTGATTAAAAATTATTCCGAGCATTTTTTGTCAATTTCGTTCACGTAGAAATAAATAAAACTGAAATAAAATTAAGAGTCGAAACAAATTAATGCGTTTGATTAAACAATTTTTTTATTTAAATAACGAGAAAAGTTTACAGCATTAAACAACACCAGACATTACAAAAATAACGAAAATGAACTTATCGCTATCATGAGCTTTGGAATGTAGTTGCCAAGCAAATATTACATAAATCTTGGTTCTCTAGCACATCAAGGACCATATCACAGCAGAGAATAGGCAGTCGTTTATGTGTAATCTCATAGAAACAATCCAGTGCCCAGCTCCGGAAAAATCCTCTCGACATGATTTCGCACAGATATAAAAAACAAGCCTTATGTTGCTTTGTTGTGAGCAAAAGCATCCATAGATCATGAGATTTTGCTAACTGGAAGTAGTTCCTATATGTGATTTGTTTAGCTGCCTCTTCGGGTCGTAACTGTATCAAGTCGTAGAGAGACAAACTCGGAATAACCATTATCTCTTTAGCTTCTGTCACGAACTCCGTGTCGTCATACCAAGATTTTTCAAGATCCATCGAGTTAGCGAACAGTTTGTATTTAGCAAAAAATTTCATAATCTTCAAGGCGTCGCTTCGATACAATTCGTATCCTTTTTTTTCAAGACTTTCGACGACGGCCAGAGCACCCGATGCTAATTCCAATTCCAAATCGCTCCTATTTTTATAACGTTTGGATACAATTATATCGGGAAAAGCAAAATTAGACAGATCAGCGCCATGATCCAAGAGTACATCAATCTCATTGAGCAAAAGACGCGCCACGGCTAATTGTAGCGGTGTTCGGCCCAACTTGTCTCGAGCGTTGACCTGCAATGGATGATATTTTTCATTGCTGAGCTCGAATAATATCTTTGCAAATTCTTCGTCGTGGCGGCTATCATGGAAAATGATGTGCAAAGAGGTCGATCCCTCCTCAGTGGCCAGATTTGGATCGGCGCCCCTTTTCAGCAGCTGTTTGACCAAAATTTTTTTCTGGCTAACCAGAGCATAGTGTAAGGCTGTATGACCCAAATCGTCCTGGGCGTTGATCTGGACTGGATGGTATTTTTCATCGCTGAGCTCGAATAACATCTCAAACAATTCTTCATCGTCGAAGTTACCATTGCACGCAATGTGCAAAGGGGTCAATCCTTCCTTATTGGCCACATTTGGATTGGCACCTCTTTTCAGCAGCAATTCTACGACTTTTTTGGTACCATTATTCAGAGCAAAGTGCAGTGGTGTGTTTCCCAACTCGTCTCGCGCGTCGATCTGCACTGGATGATATTTTTCGTCACTGAGCTCGAATAGCATATTCAACAAATCGCTAATATAGCTGGAGTGACTATTGCAAATTATGTGCAAAGGGGTAAATCCCTCCTTATTGGCTAAATGAGTGCTGGCGCCTCTTTTTAGCAGCAACTCTACCAACATGTTGTGTCCTTTCTGGAGAGCCAAGTGTAGGGGTGTGTTACCAAAATCGTCTCGGGCGTCGATTTGAACTGGATGATATTTTTCGTCGCTGAGCTCGAATAACATCTTCGCCAATGGGACGTTATCGTCATTTCTCTTGCAAATGTTGTGCAGAGGTGTCCAACCCTTTGCATTGGTCAAATTTGGATTGGCGTCACCTCTGAGCAGAAATTCGAACGTCTTCTTGGGTCTGTAATTGAGAATCAAGTGCAGGGGTGAGTCACCTGTTTCTGGCACGAGGCAATTGGGATCAACTCGGCCGAGCTCGAGAAATTTACAGACAACTAACTCGCAGCCATGCCTGCACGCCACATGGAAATGCGTTAATCCAAATTCATCGGTGTAATTAACGTCAAATCTGTTATATATTTTGAACAGCTTGCGGACGAGGCCCCTGTAGTCTTTTGTAACTTTTCCAAACAAATGATGCACTGCTGTAGTGCGTCGCGGCGATGGCTTGCCGTTTTTATCAACATAGGGCTCGTCTTGGTAGCCGGTTTGGATAACAAAGTTGATAAATGGACTTGGAATCCCATTTTTACGGTATTTCATTTCCTCCAAGACGAGCCTATCAATTTCTTCCCGTCGGAAAATGTCCCGTAAATTCGGAAGTGGGTCTGTCCAATTTTCGATCAAATCATAAAGTTGACGAAGAAATTCACGTCGTTCCTCTTCGACCTCCCATGTGACATTTTCACGCATAGCTTTCAATTTTATTATGTTGTCTTGGCTAAAACGACGACGTTTAAAATCATGGTATTCGGGCGTATCTATTGAATAGTAACGAATTTGGTTATTTTCGTCAAGCTTGTACATCTTTTTCAGCACTCACATACACAACACACGGTCACTTGTAATTTAAGATATTTTTCAATTTTTTCACGAAAATCACGTGTTAATTCAGTCGTCGCGATCTTTACTTCTTCACTTTAAGGCGTCGTGACGTGGACTGACTATACTGCATAGAATTCCATATTCATGTAGAGAGAAAGAGAGAGTAAATGAAATTCGACACTAACCTATAGTAGAGAGAAAGTAAAAAACGTGTCGTTTAACGGCTATAGCCGTCTGCCGTCCGCGTGGATGTGCACATGTGCGAGAGAGAAAGTTAGACAGACGTATGCAGACGCTACAAAATTGAATAGTGAGACTACTACGTTGCAGTAAGGCTGCTTTCACACAACTTGAATTAGATATAATAATTTAGTTGATTCTGTTCCACGACTAGCGACTGATGCGATCATATAGAAAAAATTGAATGAAATCGATTTTTCTTGAAATTTATGCTTCTTATCGTAATTGAATTCTATTTTTATCAAAATTACCAGATTTTTACCATTCTTATTATTTGTCCGAATTTTCTTTTCTATGTTTATAAATTAATTATACATTTTAATTAATTATACACAATTTGGCAGCCATATATCACTTTTATTCATTAGTATTCATTAGTAAACAAAAAATGCTGATATCTCCCAATACCTTTGAAAGTGCTTGCTTTTGTAGCCATTTTCATGTAGAACAGTCCCTGAAAATTTCAGCACATTTGCTCAAATGGTTTACATGGAAAGTTAAGGTATCAGAGCAATTTTGTGATGAAACGTAACTGCCCAACAGTTAAAAAAAACAAAAATACACCAATCTATGTCATAATGATACTGTGATGTCACTGAGGCTGCTTAAAACTTTTTGGACAGTAAAAAACAGTAATTCAACTTAAATTTTCAATATATTAGACCCGCAAGGACAACGTTCAATTATCCCAGACATCCACACAAAGCCACATGCGTCAATTTTATTATTACATTTTATAAGTTGTACTAAAATGTTAGTTACCAGTTTCCACATAAAACCCATATTAGTGTATACTATCAACCAACAATATCAAACAATATCAATCAATACGCTAATATCAGTTTCCACATAAAACCCATATTAGTGTATACTAAGTTGATTATGTCCTAATCAACTTTTCACACAAATATGCACAATCTCACATTAGAACTTGAACCCAGTCCTCCACCTATTCACTAACATTCATAAAACATTAATCACTGGATCTATAATTGGAAATAAAATCACTAAAAATTGATCAATTATCAATTATTACAGTCATATAGACATACATAAAGTACAGTGACATACATATACACTCATGTATATATGTCAATTTACATATGTACTTCTGTATTTCTTGAATTTGAACTGCTAAAAATTTCACATTTTCATAAAAAGCTATTGAAACTTCTTCATAGCTTCATTATGGAACACTATGTTGAGTTGCAAAGATATAATTGCACTCTACATATACTTTTTTCAATTTCAAAAAAATGTAATATTTAGCCATTGGAAAATCAAGAAGCAGTCAGCAGACTGTTGACATCCGGGCTCGCGCACGTAAGTGAGAGAGACACAGACAGAAGATATCGATGAGCCGAAAGCCACGTGCTGCGAGTGGTGGCGTTATTGTACACCTATAGTCATGTAAACAAACAAATTTCTGCTTGGATGTATTCTAATCAAAGAATGAAACGAGTATCTATAGATGGCATTACCGACTTATGAATGTCCGGAGATTCATGAAAGAACGGCAATGTTTTTATGAACGCGTCTTACGATCCTACTGAACCGTCGTTGGACGTTGGACCATCACTCGAAGCTCGCTTTACATCCACAGCGCAACGCTCGTCGATTCGTGCTTGCCTTTGTTACATCCTCGTTGAGTCATTTCGTCTTTCTGCTGTCCGACTGCGTAATGTAATTCTGGAACGCTTCGACGCACTCCGCGTGATCGGAAAGTAAAGTGATCAGTATTAGCAGTTGTGCTCGTGGTGTACGTGCGCCGCGGCAGTCATGTCAAACAACATTAATCGTGTGAAAACATCGTCGCAGAAGCAGTGCATCAGCGACGAGACCGGGTCCGAGAGTGGAGGCAGTGTCGACGAAAGTCAAGTCGATTCGATAACAAGCGAGATCGACGACGAGGATGTGAGTTCTGGTGATGCTGGGCATGAACGGCAAGTGCAGGTCGCAACCAACATCGCCGGGGAGTCCCAACCGCCGCAGAACTTCGGTGAAATTAGCTTCAGCGACTCTTCCAAAATTCAAATAGGACACAGGATCACGTACAGGGCCCCGGTGCACATAACGCAGCACGTTTATACAGGCCCGGTCGACGAAAAGAGGGTGGTCGATGCACGAAACTTCGTAAAGCAGAACATCGACATTGGTAGTAAATCTTCGGTCTCGTTGGAACCTGGGAATTTTTTTTCCAGTAGTAAGTTTATTCTTGTTATTTGGCATTGCCACTCTTTTTCGACTTATTCAAAATTATAATCAACACCTTTAGGCTGGTCGAATGTCAAGAAGGTTTGCAGCGATATCTTCACTGGTACCAACTCGTCAGAAGTTCCACATAATGGTATCTTTTCTTTTGATTTTTATCGATAAATTTCCTCGACCCTCTTCGATTCGTATGATCGATTATTGAAGCATCATTGCCAACAACGGACGGTATTTTGAACACTTGATTGATTATATGAACTAATGCATCTTAAACTTCGTAAACACATTTTTAGGAATTTTGTTGACCGAAAAAATGGTACTACGTATAACTGTAATACATAATAATCACAGCAACGCAAGAATATACATGGTAGAAATGTTAAATATTAATTATGGCATAATGACTATAAAAAATATAGACCAGTTTTTAATCATTTTGAGTACCTACCACTAGATGGCGTGTACCATTATCGGTAAAATCTGCAAGTGACAAAGTAAAGATAATAGCATAATTCGAGCAGAGTTTCGAAAAAAAATTAAAAGAATTTTATTGATTGATATCAAATATCATTGAATTCAAATTAATACGTTTAATTTTTATCAACTTCAGAAAGTAAATTTAAATGTTAATTTACACGAATTTTAGTCAAATATGATCTTAAAAATGTTGAACATTTCTGTTAGTGTCGTGTAGAACCGACAAATGGGTAAATTACACAGCTTCAAATTAGACGTTTTAGTATCCATTTATTTCTATAGCTTGAAGTGTCAATGAATCTATCTATATACGTTCATTGGTTTCTTATGACGATTCGTATGAATCTTTTCGCGCTTTACGTAAATGCCTTCAACCTTAAAGAATTTCAATCGTCTTGTCCCAATCGAATATTGTGCCATGTACTTATCCGGTAAAAAGTATTGTCTTTTAAAGACTTTGATTAAGCTTTTAAAGAATTAATAGAATGAATAAAAAACTAATGGGCAGTTATTTTCCTCGCTTTTGCAGAATCCACATTTCGCTTACAATTCGTCCAGCGCAACGAATGGAACGCCGAGCGAGCCCGGGACCCGCCGGAGCCGCTGTCGACCCTGCCGGCGATCTTAGTGATAATAAGTCACACGGTCACGAGGTTCTGCTTTCGCAAGGGCGACGGTGCCAGAATCGTACTCAGCTGCCAGCAGCATCACAAATACGCCAACGGCTGGTCCGACATCGGTTACAATTTTCTCGTGGGCGGCGACGGCCTCGTCTATGTCGGCCGGGGCTGGGGCGTCGTGGGCGCGCACACCCTGAATTACAACACCTGCAGCATCGGCATCTCCCTCGTGGGCACCTTCAACGAGGTCGAGCCGAGTCTGCCTCAGCTCGCGGCCACGCGCAACCTCATCGAGTACGACGTCGAGCACGGCCATATAGCGCGGGATTACGCGCTGCTGGGCCAGAGACAGTGCCGAGACACCCTGAGCCCCGGCAATGCAGCTTACAACATCATCAAGAGCTGGGAGCATTGGTCGCCCGTCGTACCATCGATTCCGCGACGATGAACAATTCCGACGCGACTTCATACCTGTATTTTATCGAATCTTTTTTTATTTACAAATTTTCATCCTAATTGCGTGGCTTAGATGTAATTTACTCTTTGACAAATTCTGAAATAAAAACCATCAGCTGAAAATTCAACTATATTCGTTTAAAAATACTTGAAAAATAAAACGAATGTTTTGATACAGAATTTTATTTTCATTACAATTGTAAACTCATTTTATTGAATTAATTTACATTTATAAATAATTAATTTACATAAACATAAATTGAAAGTGAATAAACTCATATTTTACAATATTTCATTTTAATAAGTTTTCTTACGGGAATTTTTACAATATTCAATGATACTTTACCAAAAATTGGATCTTTTATGAAAACAAAGTTCATTAAAATTTAGAATGCAATCTATTTCTGAAATATTTTAGGTGTACACATTTTTTATTCGAATAACATGGAAAGTCTGCTACATTAAACAACACCAGACATTAAAAAAATATTGAGAATATGTTTCTCGCCATGATAAACTTCAGATTGTACTTGCCAAGCAAATATTACAAAAATCTTGGTTCGTTAGCTTATCAAGGATCATAGCACAGCAAGGAATCGGCAGTCGATAGGGTGTTATCTCATAGAAACAATCCAGTGCCCAGCTCCGAAAAAATTCTCCCCATATAATTTCGCCCAGATATAAAGAACAAGCCTTATATTGCTTATATAGCAAACGCACACATTTTCTAGGGTCTATATATATAGACTTGCAGTAGTCTATATACATGAATTCTCTAGTTGCCTTTTTGTATGCCTTCTTCGTGCGACGATCGATCGAGTTAGCGAACAGTTTGCATTCAGCAAAAAATTTCATGATCTTCAAGGCGTCGCTTCGATACAATTCGTATCCTCTTTTTTCAAGGCGTTCAACGATGGCCAGAACGCGAGGAGCTAATAGAAATTCTTTTCCCCCATTTTTATAATACTCGGATACAATTATATCGGGAAAAGCAAAATTAGACAGATCAGTGCCATGATCCAAGAGTACATCAATCTCATTGAGCAAAAGATGCGCCACGGCTAATTGTAGCGGTGTTCGGCCCCACTTGTCTCTAGCATTGACCTGCAATGGATGATATTTTTCATTGCTGAGCTCGAATAATATCTTTGCAAATTCTGTATGGTGGCGGCGATCATTGAAAATGATGTGCAAAGATGTCGATCCCTCCTTGGTGGCCAAATTGGGATCGGAGCCCTCTTTCAGCAGCAGTTTTACCAAACTTTTGTTCTGGCTAATCAGAGCATAGTGTAAGGCTGTGTGACCCAAATTGTCCTGGGCGTTTATGTGCAACGGATGATATTTGATGTTGCTAAACTTGAATAACATCTTCACCAATTCTTGATCGTCCAAGTTACCATTGCACGCAATGTGCAAAGGAGTCAATCCTTCCTTATCGGCCACATTTGGATTGGCGCCTCTTTTCAGCAGCAACTCCACCAACATTCTGTTTCTGTTCTTCAGAGCCAGGTGCAACGGTGTTTTACCTGACCTGTCCCGAGCCTTGACCCGCACTGGATGGTATTTTTTCTCGCTGAACTTGAATAACATTATCGCCCAACAGACGTTATCATTATTTATGCAAATGTTGTGCAAAAGGGTCATTCCTTCCTCATTGACTGCATTAGGATTGGCGCCTCTTCTAAGCAGCAATTTAATCGTCTCCTCGAGTCTGTAATCGGACTTGAGAAAAATTAAGTGCAGCGGCGAATCGCCTCCGAGCGGCGCGCGGCAATTGGGATCTTGGCCGCGTTCGAGGAATTTCTCCACGACGTCCTCGAGGCCAAACAGGCAGGCTATATGAAAATGGGTCAAGCCACACCCGTCGGCGTAATTCACGTTGAAATTGGCGAATATCTTAAACAGTCCCTTGAGGTGGGCACGAACGTAAACGGCACGGTTTTTGAGTTTAGCAGCACGATGCACCGGCGTGATACGGCGCAACCACGGCTTGCGGTTCTTATCAAGGTCGGGCTTGTCTTTGTAGCCCGCACTGATGGCAAAGCCGATAAATGGACCCGGGACATCGACCTCCAATTCATCCGTGATAAGCCAATCGATTTCGTCCCTTCGGAAAATGCTCAGTAGATTCGGAAGTGGGCCCTCCCATTTGTGTATGAAACGATAAAGGTGAAGACGAAATTTTCGTCGCTCCTCTTCGATCTCCCATTTGACATTCATACGCATAGCTTTTAATTTTATTATTTCGTCTCTCCTACGACGAAAGTAGAAAATTTTTGGCTCTGCAAAACGCGGCTCCCTAAACCCATGTTTAGGGAGATCTTCGTAAAAGTTAACCATCGTTTTGCTCACTCACAACACACAACAACACACAGACTCTTTAAATTTACGATATTTTTAAATTTCTTCTCAAAAATCAATTTTAATTCAGTCGCGATCTTAGCTTCTTCGCGTGGCGGCGTCGCAACGTGAACTGACTATGCTGCACAGAATTCGATATCCATCCGCAGAGAGAGAGAGAGAGAGAGAGAGAGAGAGAGAGAGAGAGAGAGAGAGAGAGAAAGAGAGAGAGTAAATAGGAAATTAGACACACAGCTACGCTCTATACCGAACACAGTAGAGAGAAAGTAAAAAACGTGTCGTTCAACGGCTAGCCGTCTGCCGTCCGCGTGGATGCACACATGCGCGAGATAGAATGTAAGACAGACGCATACGCGACGTTACAGGTCAGAGCAGCGTGGCGCTTTCTCGTGTTAATTCTCATTGGAAAAAATTTAGTTCGAGCCGCCGCAGCTGGCGTTTTTGACAGTACGTACAGTTTTTTTCCATAAGATTAGATGTAAATGGTGACTGCATCGTCACTCATAGGCTCCGCCCCAACGCTCAGAGCGAACAGGCTACTTACACAAAATTTAGATTTAGATATGCAACTTCGTTTATTTCATCCAGCGAACCGACATTTTGAGACAGAATTTAATTTGTATAATAAATATAAAGTCATTATACATTATGGCACATTAGTTCTCTTCGAGGAATTTTTTTCAATGTTCGATGATATTCTCCCAAAAATTGGATATTTTATGAAAATAAAGATTATTACAATTTAGAATGTAATGTTATTCAGATACATGAGGTACGCGAATTTTTTTGAATAACATGGAATGTCGGCAACATTAAATAGCACCAAAGATTATAGTCATCAAGGAAATATTGTATATAATTTGTTTCATTCGCTCTTCGAGGATCAGTAGTGCGTCTGCTACAAAAAACAAAAATAATCTAGTGCCCAGCCCTGAAAACGTGTTTTTTTCGGAGGTCTGAAAAAATTCTTCGAAAAAATTGTTACTAAATCCAATTGAAAAACTGATTTAAATATTGTGTGGGCAATGTATAAACAGATAAATCGATAATTTAATCGTAAACAATAATATCATTAACGATTTTACCATCGCCCCTCAAACACTTATCATATTTATAGAGAAAATAAATTCGTTTGAATGTTGTCTTTGCCGACGAAACAAGTCATAAATAACAAAAGATAAATTTCACTCAATTCATTTTCTTGTCACTTAGTAAGATCCACCGTTTAATTCAGAAACTACAATGGATGAAAGTGAGATACAACCTGAGGAGGTGGTCTCAAAAGATAACTCAAGTAAACACGAAATTACTGATTCAGACGTTTGTGATATTTCTCAGGAGGCATTTATACTAGACTCAAGTGTGAAAACATACCGAGACACATTTCACAATAAAAAAAAAGATTTTGCGTGCGACCAGTGCGAGAAAAAATATGTAAAAAAATCGAGTTTACTTACACACCAAAAATTAGTACACAAAGATCGCGACGACTACTCATGTAACAAGTGTGAGAAAAAATTTGAAAATAAATCAACTTTACTCAAGCACAAAAAGATATTCCACGAAGTTTTCAAAGACTACTTATGCGAAAGGTGCGCGAAGAGATTCGGAAATAAACAGAGTTTACTTGTGCACATAAAGACAGTACACGACAAGTGTCAATTGAAATTGATTCGACGCGAAAAGATAGAACACGAACGTCGCAAAGATTTATACGCATGCGACAAGTGCATGAAGAAATTTAAACAAAAATCGCATTTGCTCTATCATCAAAAGACTGTACACGAAGGTCGCAAAGATTATGCATGTGACAAATGTGAGAAAAAATTCGGATTGAAATCTAATTTGATCAAACACCAAAAAGTCATACATGAAGGACGGAAGAATTATGCTTGCGACAAGTGCGAAAAGAAATTTGGACACAAGTGTATGTTGCTTTTACACCATAAGACAGTACACGACGGTCGGAGAGATTTCGCTTGTGACAAGTGCGAGAAGAAATATGGACGAAAAATAGATTTGTTTAATCACCAACAGACAGTTCACGAAGCTCGTAAAGATTACGCATGTGACAAATGCGAAAAAAAATTTGGACTAAAATGGAATCTGCTCACCCACCAGAAGACGGTACACGAAGGTCGCCAAGATTACACATGCGACAAGTGCGAGAAGAAATTTGCACACAAATGTATTTTGCTTTTACACCAAAAGACAACACACAACGGTCGAAAAGATTACGCATGTGACAAGTGTGAGAAGAAATTTGGGATTCGAAGCAGTTTGGTGAAACATCAAAAAATATTCCACGAAAGTCGCAAAGATTTTGTATGCGACTATTGCTTGAAGAAATTTGGACTCAAATGGACTTTGCTTTTACACCATAAGACAGTGCACGAAGGTCGGAAAGATTACGCTTGCGACAAGTGCGAAAAAAAATTTGGACAACAATCTACTTTGATTAGGCACCAAAAATCAGTGCACGAAAATCGAAAAGATTATGCATGTGACAAGTGCGAAAAGAAATTTGGACTACAATGTACTTTGACTAGACACCAAAAAACAGTCCATTATAGTCGTAAAGATTTCGTATGCGGCATGTGCGAGAAGTTATTTAAACATAAATCAGTTATGATTCGGCACCAAAAGACGGTCCACGAAGATCGCATTGATTACGCACGCCACCGTCGTGAGAAGAAGCTTGAAGAAAAGTGATTTTGTTTAGGCACCAAATGATAGTTCAGATAGCAGATAAGACAAATGGTAGATAAGACAAAGATGTTTAAGAGTTCTCTCGCAAAAAAGCAATCATGTACTTGATTGAATTCGAGGTACTGAAAAAAGTCCACAAAATTTCCAAAAACGATCTATCAGGCAATTTTCGTAGTTTTATTAAGATAACGTATTTGATGAATACGTTAAAATTTTTACATAAAAAGGTAATTTGATTCCCCAGAATTGCTTTGCTTTTTGAATATGAAACGATGTACCAAATAACTGTAAATTTGAACACCATACTCACAAATGTGCGCAATTATACCTAATCTCATGTCAGAAAATTATTAAGTTTTTGTAAATAATTTATTGTTTATATCAAAAGCTCCAATTCGTGCAGCCAAATGCTCGTGTGTCTCATCAAGGATATAATGAAAAATACTAATTATTTCTTGACAATTGTGAATATGTATAGACAACTCATATAGATTTTCAAGTACAAGTTTTTCTAAAATTTCGATAAAAATTGTGCCTATATGATTGTGTCTTACCTGAATTTCATGTTATCAATTATCTTTACACCTTTGTACACTGACCTGGTGGAATAACGTATTTTCAAAGTACATATTTTGGTCTACTTGTTAATTCACTTGTGGTTTAATTAACAATCAAATTATTGCTGACTGTTTATCATAATTTTTCAAAAATTCTGTAATTTCACTAGTACTTCATGAGGAGGATGAGAAGCGTAATCGATGTTTATTTGAAAAATTAGTGGATTTGAGTAAACGAATAGAACAAATATATATTTTTTTTTACCATAATTGTTTTCGTTTTTATTTTAGATTTGAAATTGATGTTGTGCAAAAAGACAAAACAAATTAACATATATAACGTGATCTTATTGAGGCACGAGAATGTCGTGCCTGATTCTACCTCAATCTGTGTTTTTTTTTCTTGCATCAGATGCTATACTACATATTTTGAAACTATGAATGTTCATTTCGATAAGACTCTATAAGCTGTCGGTGTGTAAAAAAAATATCTTTTATTTAAAACTGAATCAGCAGAACAGTTTTCTGGTGTAACAATCAGCAGCCCTCTCTTTTAGATCCTAGAGTAGTATCAAAAATGAAACATTTGATTGGATCAGAGTTTCTTTCGGTCAAACAGGTGTAATATTGTATGTGTCATGTGTACAGTTTTCTGGTGTAACAATCAGCAGCCCTCTCTTTTAGATCCTAGAGTAGTATCAAAAATGAAACATTTGATTGGATCAGAATTTCTTTCGGTCAAACAGGTGTAATATACATTGGTAGGTATACTTTACTATCAAAATACAAAAATTTGAACTATTTTTTAACAAAACACAGAGTTGTCACCTTAACTAACTATATCGTTTCTGAACTCTCGCTATATATTATTTATCAATGGCTTCGAGACTGCGCACAAAGGACATTTTCAACGATCGAAAAAGAAAAATTGTTAAATAAATTTCTTCGTTTTCCCTTTTATTTACAATTATGTACGAAAGTACAAGCGATGTTTACTATGGAACACAACACTCACAGTCGGTGTCAATCGCGCTTCTACACCAGCCAGTTCCGAGTACAACACGCTTTTCCCCATAGTTTTCGCTCTCGAATCGTCCCGCGATAGCTTCGATAAAACAGTTTTTACCTCTCCTCGTCCAAAATGCTCGTCGACGACGATTACGACATGACGATCAAGGATTCGTCGAGCGTCGTGAAAAGCGTAGTCAATGCCAGCAGCGAGCTCGAGGGCGAGGGCCACGTCGAGAGGAAAATTCTGGACGTGTGCTACGCCGCTGTCTCGGTGCCCGGTGGTTATTACGGCAGCGTCTGTAAACGGCTGTGCGTCGCCACCGAGGGCCAAACAGTCAACGGCCAGACGAAGCGACGAGCCGACTCGTACCTGGTGAAGCAGTTGCCGCCCACGAAGATGGCGCGCCGAGTCTTCAAGCACCCGATGACCTTCTGCAAGGAGCTGTACTTTTACGAGACGCTGGCGCCGCTCTACCAGAAGTTGGCAAAGATCGACTTCGCCCCGAGGTACGTGTGGTCGCGTCTGTCGACTCGAAACGGCGACGCCGTGGCGCCGCACAACGACGCCCTGTTGGTCACCCGTTACTTGGAGGACTTCAAGACGATCGACAGATACAAGGGCGCGAGCTTCGAGGAGGCGAAAATCGTCGTCTACACCATGGCTCTGTTCCACGCCACGGGTATCGCGATCAGGCGCAAGAGACCCGACGTCTACCGGCAGATCCAGGAGAGATTCGGCTTTCCGATTCACTCGGAGGACAGCGACCGGGCCAGACGCGAAAACATCGAATCAATGATCGACGACGCCTTTAGAAACCAATCCGAGACGATGTCCCGGATAAAGCTGGATCCGCGCACGGCCGAGTGGCTCAAGGAGACGCAGAGAGACTCGCCGCGGCTCGAGTGCTGCTACCCCAGGGCGCAGAGGAGGGACAAGCAGGGGGACGAGCTGTCCTGCCTCTGTCACAACGATCTGTGGGCCAACAACATCATGATCAGGCAGTCCGAGGTCGTCGACGGCGGCGACATCGACATCGACGACGACAATGTCAGGTTGTTCGAGTCCCTGGAGATATCGGCCAAGCCGAGGTACAACGACGCGCGCTTCGTCGACTGGCAGACGTACTACATAAGCTCGCCCCTGACGGAGCTCGTCTTCTTCGTCTTCGTCACGCTCGAGCTGCCCCTCGCAGCGGAGAAAATCGACGAGCTGTTGGCCATTTATCGCGAGACTCTGCTCTGCGCCGCGCTCAACCACTACGGCATCGATCTGAGCTCGCATCTCGAGGCGGCTCCGTTCAGCGAGCGACTGAGGCGGGACGCTCGCGACGAGCTCTATCACATCGTCAAGTTCGTGAAGATAGCGTCGCTGACGGAGAACGAGGACCCGTTCGATCACATCATGGATCGGGAGACCCTCGATCGGTTGCGCTCCATATTCAAGGTCTATCAAGAGAATAAATGGCTGCGGGAAGAATGACAATGGTTCGACCCGCCCGTGTACAGAAGACGATAGACTCGTACATGGTTTTTATTCAATTTTGTTTTTCTATGTGTTGGGTAATCTTAATTTTTATTTTATTTCGTTAAGTTTGAAATTCAACGGACTCGAGATAGTTCATATTGTAAATGTAAATAGTATATAATCTATATCCCGAATGTTTATGTAAACACTAAAACAATTTTATGAAAAGTCACTATATGAGACTGACGATTTTACAAAATAAATTTTTATGTCTCTATAAACGTAATCGTTACATAAATATTTTTGATCATTTTTTTAGATACACTTTTTCTAGATACACGCCGCAGAACCATTGATATCGCTATAGAGCGCTTAGTGACGAACGAACGAAGGAATAATAATTACGCTGATTAATAAAAAAAATGCCTCACGAGATATAATATGATCGATCCCTCGTTCGAACAAAGAGTCGTATCGATTAATTTATGTCAATCGTCATAAAACATTCACGATTTGGATCTAAAAAATTGTGATGTCATTCGTGGTCTTGCTTCGATAACGCATAATTTTTCAATCGTACAAAAAATTATTACGAAATACGTTTGGATGTTACATATCGTCGTGTAAATTTAAATGTATCTACCGGTGTCGCATCGATACTACGACAGAGTCAACGCGTGTGATGTGTCACGTGAAGACATACTCTTGACATTCGCAGTCGTCTTTTTTTTTCGAGCCCCGCTGGATATACAATACAAACTCAGGCACTCGATTGACCCCTGTAAGTTCGCTATTTCATCTTTAAATTATTTTATATCTCGCAGCGAGCTCTCGTTAATAGCAACTGCAGTGATGGTACATAGCTCTGGTAAATTGCCACGATTTTACGCTGCATCACGCTTCGACATCGAATATTGTATTATTATATTATAGGAAAAGTTTGGGCATCGAAACGTCAAAAAACGAACGTGTTGATATTGTTTTGAAAAGTCACAGTGTTGTTACACTATTCAAGCACTCCTGCGATCGTATATTTTTATCTAATCGTCGTCGCTGTGCGTTCAAAGGCACGTATACGTATTCGAGCGATAATAAAAGCTCGCCCCCGCGCGAATCGAGGTAAAATAAACAAGTCGACAGCTTTACCAATATGCACCAGTAAAAATTAAGAATCGTGCAATCGAGCTGAGAATTTCTCAGCGCTGCTAAGCGCGGGGGGGTCGCAAAAACCGGAGTCGAATCTTATATCGCGTAGTGCATGTGCGTGTCCGAGAGCTATATTCTATATACATATATGTTGTTATTATAATCTGTTCGTATGTAAGGTCGTCGAACTCACTGCTGCGCTTGCGTACGTACACCCGTGCATGTGTAGTATGTATATAGTACATACACAACACACATCGAGCGATGCATCCTTATTATTACTCGTGACTCTTTTTGCACTACTATATATAATACGGAGCTCGCTTCCGAGACTCTACTCCCGCGCGTTCGGTTCGGTCAATTGGCGCATCGCCGGATGGCTCGCTCGCGCGCGCGCGTAGTATATACAATCGAGCCAAGCCCCCCCGAAAAAAAATTCAAAGGCACATGTGCTGATCTCGCCGCCATCGGTCTCGTATATATGTATATAATTTCGTCGTTGGTTTATGCTGCTTCTGCTTCTGTAGGGGTATTGTATTATATATAGAATGCGTGCCGCTGTAGTTTGTAATCGTCCGTCGTGCTAGGCGCGCGATCCAGTTCCCGAGACTCTCGAGTGCCGTGCGTGTGTGTGCTTTTAAGACGCTACTAGAGATAAGAGAATCGTACACAATCATCGTCGTCGTCGTCGTCGTACAATCTTCTGCGCGAGTTCGAAATTAAGTTCGAAGAACTTTTTTACAACGTCAAAACGTATAAAATCGCGGAGCGCGACGATAGTTAGTGATTATTCAGCCATGGCCGAGGCAGCATCAGCAGCATTAGCGCAGGCGGAGGTGATAGCGGAAGCTCCGACAGCTCCGACCCCGGAGATGACCATCATACACGAGATGAAGCTGAGGGACCTGCAGGGCCTGCTGCGCCATCGCTTCCGCAACGACGAGCTCGTCGTCGACAATTACACGTACGAGTCGCTGCTGCCCATCGGCGAGAACTACGGCAGCACGATGTTGAAGGTGCACGCGGTGTATCGCGAGCACGACGAGGACGACTCCGAGCAGAAGGAGCTCGAGCTCGTGGCCAAGATGATGCCCCCGACGGACTTTCAGCGCAGCGTCTTCGACAGCCCCTACACGTTTCGCAAGGAGGCCTTTCTCTATCAGGGCCTCGTGCCGGCTTACAGACAGCTCGAGCGCGACTTCGGCGTGCCCGAGGCCGAGCTCTTCGACATCGTGCCGGGCTTCTACGGCGTGAGGTACACCCTGGCCAATGTCGAGGCCGACGACGGCGGCTTCGACGAGGACGCGGTCATACTCATGGAGAATCTCAAGGTCGCGGGCTATTACACCTGCGACAGAAAGATCGGTGAGTGGTGTGGTGTGTGTGATTTTGTTACGACAGTGACGACGAGTAATTGACGTGCCCTTTTTTTTAAATTTTCGTAGGACTGGACTTGGAGCACGCGCGCGCCGCCATCGAGAGGCTGGCGCGTTTCCACGCGCTCGGCATGGCCATGAAGCAGCACAGGCCCGAAAAATTCGCCCTCATCCGCGAGCGATCCCAGACGCTGGCCTTCAAGGAGAACTCGGAGTTCGAGAAGACGACCGTCTACTTCAAGAATCTGTTCAAGATGGACCCGATGCTGTCGGAGTACAGGGCGAGACTGGAGCGAGCCATGGATATGGACCCGACGGTGGTCTGGTCGTCCCGGCCCACCGAGCCCTGGGCCACGATCGTCCACATGGACTTCTGGGTGAACAACATCATGTTCAGGCGCGACGAGGCGACGGGCCGCGTCGACGACGTGAAATTCGTCGATTTCCAGAACTACATGTACATGAGCCCGTTGAGAGAGCTGGCCTTCTTCGTCGGCACGAATTTCCGGCTCGACGTCATGCTGGAAAAATTCGACGAGCTGATCGACCGCTACTACGACAAGTTCATCGGCACGCTGGAGAGGATGAACTGCGACACGGAGCCGTTCGCGCGGGACAAGTTCGACGAGCGCATGAAGGTGGACGCGTTCGAGGAGTTCACCCACTGTCCGTTCATGCTGCAGATAATGACCAAGGACGTGGACCACGACGCCAAGGCCCAGGACATCAAGCACATGATGATGCAGCAGTCGCTCAACTCGACGTTCCTCGAGCGTCTGAGGCTGCTCGTCAAGACGTTCGCCGCCAAAGGTTGGCTGTGAGATAAAGAGAGAGAAAGAGAGAGATCGCTTATTTTGTTTTTTTTTTTTTTTTTTTTATGAATGCTGTCGAGTGGGTTTTCCCGACTTTATGAATGGCGCATTTGAAGAAAAAAAGAAGTGAATTATTTTTGTTAAACCGATTGTAAGATAGAAATTGTATAATAGCAAAAGTATATAACGTGTAAATATTTTTATTAAAGTAAGCTGCTGTACGAGAAAATATATAACGTTAAGATATTATTTTCTGAAAATAGCGCGAGAGATTTTTTTTTATTTCGTTCTCCTACCCTCTCGATTATCTGAAACTAATGAGCCGATGGCCGATAAAGATATATTGTAAAACGAGATAACGACTGATTTACGGGTAACAGAGCGCGATGACATTTACAATGTTGTTCGTGATTTACGAGTGACATATGACTTGGAATATTGAGCGTAGTTTCATTAAAAAATACCGAATGTTTTAATTGATGATTGAAATCACTGAATACATCTATTATTTTTTAAATACCTGTGAAATTTTATCAAAATTTGACTTCTTAATGCATTAGTTTTATTAAATAATGAAGCCTGATTTACACATGTTTATTAGAATATGTGAAATAAATATTTAGAAAACGTTTAGAAACCAATTACCGATGGAAAAGAAGCAGGTTTTTATTTTGGTATTTAATAACTGCTAATAACTGCTAACATTAGTTGTTGCCATTAAACGATTTTTCATTTCATAATTGATGGAATTTGTTCCAGCCAATATGTTTTGTTTTTAACGAGATTGTTACATTAAATTGTTACATCAAAAGTTACAGTACATTATTCAATCGCTGATAAAATGCATATAATCATTTGATCCATTTATTACAGTTGATAACAGAAGAAAACAAACGAGTATATTAAGTATTAATTAGCTTTCCAGCCTGGAAGGATTAATACATAAAGAATCAAGATCTCATGACCGACTTTGCGTAAATATTTTTGCAGGTGAAAACATCCGAAAAATACTGATTAATCTCACGTAATTGCGAATTTATCGGGCATATCTCGATTGACATTTGCCGTCGCGAGGACGCAACCGTGTCGGTTCAAAAGTATCCGAAAATCTCATTCAACGCGAACGATTTAGTCGTTCGGTTGCAAGAAACGTGTCAAGTACTTGCTTGATTTATTCGTATATTAAAGATTAAATTCTTAAACAAAAATTATTAGCCGGACTTGATCCGCGAAAGTTATATAGAACAAGTCTGAAAGTTAGGTGGTTGAAATCATCTGTCTCCGCCGATCCGTGCAAGAGCAAGTAAGTACTGGTTGGGCTTAAATAATTCAAAACTTTTTAAGCCTCTCGACATATAAGTTTTTTTTAAAATCAGCAGAGCAATTGTAGTGATTGATTTGCTTTAATCTTGCGCAATAGTTATTAGTAGATCACAAGAAAAAAACTGATGGGTTTACCAATCCAATGTTGAGATCAACTCATCGATTTTTATAAATAACACAATCATAAAAAAATTATTTATAAAGCTTAACATATTTTACACAATGCAAAATATTTTTGCTTAATAAAATTCATTCACACGAGTACTTTTTCAAAAATAAGTTTTTTAATAATTTACATGCCTGAGTTTGACGGTAAATTTTGAAAGTAAAACTCGATTTTGAACCTAACTCATACCTTTTTTAGTTTTCACTATTGCGGTTTGTTAATATGACAGCATAACGCAACCTTGAAAACTTGGTTTTTACGATATTTTTTTAATCAGATCCTAAATTTTTCATAGAAATGCTTAATATAAATAAAAGTCTAAAATGCTATTTAAAATGTTTTGGAACGATCATCATCGATAGGCTTGTTTTTTACCAATTCTTCTGTTACAAATGTTAAAGCACATTTTGAATGTAAATGAAAATTTAATTTTTTTTAAATTTAGAGAAGTTTTCAACCACTTTCAATACTATTATACTAGTTTCAACCTTCGCCGCTAGGCGGCGAGTACACTTTATCTGTAAATCTGCAAGTGGCAATGTGAAAATAATTGTATAAGTGTAAGCGTAGTTTTGATTTACACAGATACTTCTAATTCTGATATACATTTTTTTATAAGAAACATTTTCGTTCGCAAAAAACTAGCCACAAAATGTTGAGCATTCCTACCAGGGATAGACAAATTATTAAAGATGCCTTGAAACCTTTTCTATAACGTTAATCCTAACTCATTAGACATGGTTAACAACGATTCCACCCCCACCACCGAACCGATCGTGCTTCGACAGCCCGAGCAGCTTCTTCGGCAAGTACTTGGGCGTGATCTGATCGTCGTCGACTGTCAACAAGTGCCCCTGCTGCCAGCGGGTGAAAATTATGCCAGCTTGATGCTCAAAGTCGACGTCGTCGTTAAGAAAAAGCCGGACGCCGACGACGAGAGGCTCGAGTTGGTGGCCAAAATGGCTCCTGCGACGTCTCTGCAGCAACGCATAGTGAAAATCACGGCCGCCTGGAAGAAGGAAATTTTCATTTTCAAAGAATTGATACCGCTGTATCGAGAGCTGCAGCGAGAGGTCGGCGTCGCGGAGAAGGATCTGATCGACATACTTCCAAAATATTACGGCAGCCGATTGTCGCTCGATCCGAGCAATCGGAACGAAGCCGATCTCGATGCCGTGTTACTCATGGAAAATCTTAAAAGTCTCGGTTACGACACTTACGATCGAAACAAAGGTCAGCTTCATTTTCATATTTCAAAGTAATTAAAATACACTCGATACTGAAAATGAACTTGGCGCAGGTATGGATTTCGCGCACGCGAAAATGGCCATCTCCAAACTGGCGGAATATCACGCGCTTGGCCTGGCTTTCAGAATGAAAAGACCGGAACTTTTCGAAGAAGCCCGAACAATGACGGATACCATACCCTTTGATTTTACCAGCGGTACGACTGCCGGTTTCGAAGACCATCTTTTGAAAATTATTTGCAATGATTCTCGCATGGCCCCTTATCGGGATCGGATAAAGAAGAATCTCGATAAAAGCAAAAATTTTGGTTATTACAATATGAAAGCCGTTGAGCCGTGGCTCACGATAACTCACGGCGACGTTTGGGGTAACAATATGATGTTCAAAGAAGACGGTACGTAGCGAAAAAAGATGATTTTTGTTCTAAAAAAATTATCGAGTACGTATTTTAATTTCAGAAGATAAAAATCCGATCGACATCAAGTTCGTCGACTTTCAAATCGCCTTCGCCTGCAGCCCGATGAAAGACATCCCTTACTTCCTTTGCACCAGCTTACGCATGGACACCTTCATCGATCACTTCGACGATCTGCTGGACGTCTATCACGATCGATTGATCGACTCGTTGACGCGGCTGCGGTGCGACGCCTCGCCGTTTCGGCGCGAACGGTTCGACGAGCAGCTTCAGCGCGACGCGAGCGATCAATTTTCTCGATGCATGCTGACCCTGAAATTCATCACCATGAACACGGCCGAGAACGACATCGACCTGAACGACCTGAAGGGTAGCGTGGTCGAGTCGGAAGCCAACGACGTGTTCGTCGAGCGTCTCTGGCAGGCGATTCGAGTGTTCGTTGAAAAGGATTGGATGTGATTCGCGGGAAAACTTTCGGCCGATCGACGACTTCTTCGCGGAAGAAAAAAAAGATTTTTTTTCAAGAGAGAGAGAGAAGATGAAGAGGAAAAATTGTGGATGAGTCGTCGATTGCTATAAAACACTCGCTTGTACCGCAATGTCGACGAGTATAATCGTTCTATCTGTTCGTATTCTTGCACGTCGTCCATTCAAGTTGTAATATTATGACGAAAGACCTCGCGGAGGACGTCAAGGTCACTGAATCTCGAGCGAATGACGAATTTATTTCATAATTTGCTTATTGTTCGGTCGATTTAGACGATTGCATTCAGACACGATGGCACTATGTCCATTTAAATATCTTCTTTGTTATCTTTCGCAGTAATACAAATTTTATTGAACGTTTAAATTTTCAGTCAAAAATGTTGTTGTACGTAAATAATAGATAAGAATCTGCATTTTTAAGTCACATTGACAATAAAAATCATAGGCTCGAAGAAATGAGCGAAATTATTTTCCGACATCAAAAATTTTATATATGATTTTAACTTTACTATAATAATACGATAAACCTATTAGGTAAAAGATAAAAAAAAAAAATTGAAGTTGCAATGTCATTTGTGGTTTATCAAGAATGACATGCATGTACCGTTAATTATAGATTTTAAAAATAATATCTAGTATCTTAATCAGTGCAAATAGCGATAAGAGAAGTTTTTTTTATTAATGATAGTGAAAACAATTTTTTGATATCAAAATGCACACGTAACGACTTGGTGTATTTTTTGATTTTTTTTTCTTACTGCTACATAAAACTAACACACAAGCTATAACTCATATTGATGTTATTTATTAATTTTTGAAAGGAATTAAGTAAAATGGGTTGACACTCGTAAAATTCGACGATACATTTAATTTGCTTCGTAATATCACAATTAAAACTGTAATCTTTACAGTCCATCTCTTATAAAATTTTGAGCAAACGAAACAAGTGTCATTGTATCAAATAGCGCCACACTTGATTTCGGAATTTAGCTTATTACATTTAAAAACCCCAGCCCACTCGACGACGAATGAAATTTTTCCATTGTAATAATTAGAAACGTTAATCGGATTAGTACTTGCTTTGATTTCTTCACAGCGGATTTCAGTGCTTTCGATAAAATTTTTTTTATCTATTTTTTTTCATTGAATGTTCCGGGTAATCAAAAAATCAAAAAATATACAATAAATATTAAGAGCGAGGTGAACGAACATTCGCGAAATATATAAAAATAATAAAAATAAATAGGGCTATTGGTTCAGCTGTCTACGAGATATCGTTCGCAGCGTTTGATAGTAGCACTTACAATTCATTATCGAAAGATATAAAAGAATCGGTTGAACGGCTAAGGAACGATTTCTGTAATACACGAGAGTTTCGCGGTAATTTCGAAGGATTCCGATCGATTAAATCTCAATATTATTATGCGATTGAAGCTCGATCGCTATTCTTCTTTCACAAATAGGTGTAAAATTAATTTTGTTTTCTCTTCGGAAATCGCAGAGCGATAAACGGCGCTCGTGCACTCGAAGATAAACGTTTTTTATATTTGCTCTATATAATATAACACCTAAAATGAACAGGTATGGACGCGCACGAGAGCTTCGCCGATGAGAATAATGTCAACAGATTATTCTTCCTCGTGGTGTGTATAGACGATCGCGGACGAGAGCATCACACGGATCGTTAATAACGTTCGAAGCGCAGCGTATACATTATAACACAACCACGTCGGAGGCGCGTCGTCGTCGTCGTCGTAAATACACGGAGGTGGGATATTTTATATAACGCTCTTGGATTAAATGGAAAATCAAGTCCCCTCGTATAGTCATTGATTCGCTGCACGCGTGCGAGGTACTTTGTTCATGAATTGGTCGCACACGAGAGAGGCGACAAAACGAGAACGATTTGTTTACACTCCAGGCTCGCACGCGCGCACGCAAAAACGTTGTGAAATTTTTTCAATCGAGAGTTTCGTTGTTGTTGTTGAAAATAATCCGAGATGTCGGCGAGTGACAAAGTTAGCAACGGCGATTCGCTGATCGTGCTTCGCGAGCCCGAGCAGCTTCTGCGCCAAGTGCTGGGCGACGAGCTCACAGTCCTCGACCTCCAGCAGACGGCCCTGGTGCCCATGGGCGAGAACTACGGCAGCTCCATACTGAAGATCGACGTGGTCGTCAAGAGGACAGCCGACGCGGCCGAGGAGAAGCTCGGCCTGGTGGCCAAGATGGCACCCGCCACCGCCTTCCAGCAGGAGATGCTGAACGTCAAGGCGTCCATGCTCAAGGAGATCTACATCTTCAAGGATCTGATACCTCTGTACCAGGAGATGCAGCGCGAGGTCGGCGTCCCGGAGAAGGACGTGATCGACGTGCTGCCAAAATATTACGGCAGCCGATTGTCGCTCGATCTGGACAATCGGGAGGAGGCCGATCTCGACGCGGTGCTGCTGATGGAGAATCTCAAGTGCCGCGGTTACGAGACCATGGACAGAAAAATAGGTACGCCTTTTGTTTTCGTTGTATACTTCCGTATCGATTAATGCGTTTTCTTTCAAAATTTATTGTATCGCGCGTGACGATGTGTTCCTGCGATAATGATCGTTTTTAATCGTTACGTAAATGTTTTGATACTGTGACAATGGAGTGGAAAAAATGTTTCATCATATCAATCAATTTTTCTTTACCCACAAAATAATGCATTTTTAAATTAAAAAATGAGTCGATGAAATCAAATGTGAAAAATATACGCAGGTATGGACTACGCGCACGCGAAAATGGCCATCGCCAAGCTGGCGGAGTATCACGCGCTCGGCCTCGCGCTCAGAATCAAAAAGCCCGAGGCCTTCGCGAAAGCTCGCGAGCTGATCGACGTCATTCCCTTCGAGACGAACACGGAAGTGTTCGCCGGCATGGGCGAGGAGATCTACAAGACCATTTGCAGCGATCCACGGACGGCCGTTCACAAGGACCTGATCAAGAAGCAAATCGACGACAACGTGAATTTCGAGTGCTTCTACAACATGGACGCGGTCGAGCCGTGGCTGACACTGAGTCACGGTGACTTTTGGGTCAACAACATAATGTTCAAGAACGGTACGTAATATAAAAATAATAATAAGACTTGAATTGAATGACTGAAAAATCGTGTATCTTTCCCATCGCGCAGACAACGGAAAACCCATCGACATCAAGCTCATCGACTTTCAAATCGCCTACGCCTGCAGCCCCATGAAGGATCTTCCCTACTTCCTCACGGGCAGTCTATCGATCGAGACCATCGACCGGCACTTCGAGGATCTGATCGACGTCTATCACGAGACGCTGCTCGACACCCTCGAGCAGCTGAAATGCGACACCGCGCCGTTCGCGCGCGAAAAGTTCGACGAGCAGCTGCGCTACGACGCGAGCAATCAGCTCTACCGCTGCATGATGGCGCTCAAGTTCTTCACCATGGACGCGGCCGAGAACAACATCGACCTGAACGACCTCAAGGGCACCGTGATACTGTCCAAGTCCAACGACGTGTACGTCGAGCGACTCTGCCGGATGGTCGACAAGTTCGTCGAAAAGGCCTGGCTGTAGATTATAATATGTAAAAAAAAATTCGGTTGTAAGAAAGTAAATATTGTACTTTATAGGCGAGCGAACGATGTTTTTTTTCTCTTTTGTAAATACAACTTATTTTTGTATAGTGACTACAAAATTGTTACGGTGATTTGAGAACCACGAAAAAATGCACAGTATTACTTGTAAAAAATTGCGGGTATAAAATAAATAAAGTAAAATTACATTTTTGATAAAAAAATAAAAAATAAAACATTTCGTTATTTCGACAAAATCGAACACGATCATCATCGACGTTGGGCAATTAAAGCACGATGTGCAAACATTGCATTGCGCGTTATACCATGTGACAACGACGCGCATTGATCAATTCTTCTGCTGCTGCGCATTATATTCGTTATTATCGCATTTTCAATTGCCTTTATCTTTTCGCCTCTACACTACACTATTGCTTTGTGTATGTGTGTGTGCATTTTTTGCATCGAAACCCAAGAGTACAAAGAACGCGAGTTGCCGGTATTACGTAAAATTTTCATCGCGCAATCTGTCATTAGCGCTCCGCGCGCGTTTGCCTTACGCCTCTATGTACGCGAGCGGTGAGTAATTTTCATCAATTTGATTTTCGATGTAAAAAAAAAGGAATAAAGGAAAAAAGACGCGAATCATGCACCTGCTACACGTACTCGAAATGATTGTACGCGCGGGGTTGCAAACACGATACGATAAAATTCTTTATCTGCCAAGCGCACGAGGTTTTTATCGATATGTACGGAGGAATATGAGGAAATAACACGAGAATAAAAAATCAACACCTTCTCTCACGAGTGTTTATCGTCATCTCTGCGATAGAATTAATCGCGCGAAGCTTTTGTATTAGAATTTTGCCTGATAGTTTGAATCGTACTCACCGCGAGACGTGACTGGCTTTTCGATGATAATATAACCGCGCGCGAGTCATTAATTCGAGCTCTTTGCTATTCAAATAGCCACTTTGATGTCACTTTTGACATATTTCAAAGTGTCAAAACGGGACATGTTTCATTTGATAAATTAGATAATCGATTTGTTGGACGCAGAAAACATTTGCGTTAATAACCGGTACCATTGTCTTTTTTTTCTTCAAATCGTAAATACAAATCGAGAGAAAAAAAAAATTGTTGAAATCGCTCAAGGACGTCTTTAAAAGCGCTAGATACGACGATATATAGTTTATGTTTTTACACTCGCGGCTAGTGATTTTTTTCTCGATACGCAATAGTTATATTTACCATGTAGTAGCTCAAACTCGTTCCTTTATAATTACGGCCTCGCGCCACGATAATAATAACAATAATAATGGTGAAAATTACCATAAATCAATAAGGGCATTGATGATCTCTCGATTTTTATGCAAATATTCATACAAACTTTGTTTCGGTTCGAACTTCCTGCTCCGCGTATATAGTACCTACCTTTATAATAATATTGAGTGTGTTTGATCAGCGTCTGCGAGCGCTGAAAAATTATTTAAACTATATAAACTGACGTGTCTCTGAAAAAGGCGCATTGCATAACTCTTTGCACGTGCGCCGTGCGGAGATTGAACGATGTATATATGTAGGTGCTTGTCAAACATGCACGCATACACACACGCACCAGAAATCAATTGATCGTGTAAAATGGTCGACTCGTTTGTATATTATATAAAAAAAAAAGCAAGTCCGAAGTATTCCACTTCGCACTCGCGCCGAAATGTTAAAATGTTTTTCGTGGCTCTTTATTGTTTTTATTTTTATGTATTCCAGGTAAAACGACTAGACCGGCGTAACGATTACATTATTGCCTTAATTAATATATGATGTATTTCAGCCACTCTATCGTTATTAATTAATCAACGAATAATGATGACAATCGACGTTTCGGGCAAAATCGTTGTCTCACCCGAAAGCGCGATAATTAACAAACAACGATAATTATCACTGTCAAATCGTACGACTCGCGCGCTCGTAACGACATCATCTACGTACTAATGGTCACTTTTATATACCTGACTGATAATATGAAATATGATTTAATAATTAATGACTATCTCGATGATCGAGGTCAATGAACTCTCGCCGCGCGATCGAGTTTTCCCCATTTCACGAAATGACGTTTCATCTATATACCAAAAGGTAAAGAAGAGCAAAAATCGAAAAAAAAAAATTATAATAGCGCAAAAATGAAAAAAAAAGGTGTAACGCAGCAGCAGCAGCGAGCCGCGAAACTGTGTCAGTGCAGCTGCACCGCGCGCGCGAAAGAAGATAAAGAAAGTATTATACGCGTGTGCGTGTGTGTGTGTATATAAGTCATTCACACCGGATCGGCGCGCAGTATGATGTATACATGTTTGTAAATTCGCCGCGACTGTGTGAGTGAGTGTATTTGATATATATATATATATGTGTGTGTAAGTGTATATACACACGGTTTTCCTCTGACGCATCTCGAAGCTAATACCTACGAGCTAATTACGATATATCACACATACACGTACGTCCATATGCTCTACAGCTCTGCTAAACGCGCGAGGCGTGTGTGTATCGGTACCTAATAGATTTCAGATAAGCCGATCCTGGGCTACTGCCGCTACTATATATATAACACAAGCACCGAAAAAGGCACTACACAGCAACAGCAGCAGCAGCAACCACATGTGTGTATCTTGGTCATCTCTTTAGTTCGGCCGGAGTAATTGCAGAGTGCGCGCGACTTATTTTATACATACATACATATACCTACTACGAGTCGACACAGTGCCGCGAGGAGTGTGTGTATACATATATCGTTCCCTCTTTTCTCCGTGTGTTTCCGAGCTCTGAAAGTATATACGGAACGGCAGCAACGTCAGCCGAAGCAGTCGAATCGGCACGGGGCACAGCAGCAACGCTTATTGCAACGAACGCGCAGAAAAATTAATTGTCGATCGGTTGCAGCGCGCACAGAATTTGTGTCCGACCCGAGGTCCTTTTTTTCCCTATTTTTTTTTCTAATCGAGTGCCAGTGTTATTTATCGATTCGATAAACTATAATACGATCGTCATCATGTCATCCACGGACGACAATCGGCAAAACAACGCCACCGGCGAATCGGTTGCCGTGATCAAGGACCTGGAGTCGCTGCTGCGCGAGCACGTCGATCCCCGACTGCGACTGCTCGACTTCACCAGCGACAATCTGCTGCCGGACGGCGAGAATTATTCCAGCATCATCGTGAAGATCGAGGCGAGCGTGAGAATCGGCGACGACGATCGCGAGGAGAATCTGTCGCTGGTCGCGAAGACGGTGCCGCAGGGCGGCCACAAGACCCAAGTCAAGACCGTGATATCCTTCTCCAAGGAGATCTTCATCTTCGAGAGTCTGATGCCGGCTTTCAAGGCGCTGGATCCGACGATGGACGTGCTGCCGAAATTTTACGGCGGCAGACTGACCCTGGACGAGGAGAGCGAACACAACGACGAGGACATCGTGCTGCTGATGGAAAATCTCAAGACCAAGGGTTACCACACGAAGGACAGAAAACAAGGTGAGTTACCGCATTTTTCTTGTTTACGAAGACTTTTAAATCGGAGATGAATCTCGTACGATAAGATAAGAAAAAAAAGAAGTATTGAATAACAATCGAGTAACGCACCAACACGATCGAATCGACAGGTTTCGACTACGCGCACGCCGAATTCGCGATCCGCGAGCTGGCCAAGTGGCACGGGCTCAGCATCGCCCTGAGGCAGAAGAACGACGAATTTTTCGCCAGATGCCGGCGGGAACTCTGCCGATTCCCGTACGAGCTGCAGGTCACCTCGATGTCCGATCTGGCCGAGCACATCACTCGTGACATCTGCGCGGACGAGCGCATGGCGCCGCACAAGGAGCTCATCAGCCGCGAACTGCAGGCCAATCTGCGCTGGAACGAGTCGATCGAGCGGCCCGAGGAGGGACCCTGGGCCGGCATAACTCACGGCGACTTTTGGGTCAACAACATCATGTATCTCGATGATGGTCAGTGAGACACGATCATATCCATCATCTTCATAATCGACGATAATGTATGCATTAATCGTGCGTTAAATTTCAGAAAACGGCCAACCCAAAGACGTGAAATTCGTCGACTTTCAAATGGTCAGCGCTCTCAGCGTGCTGCGCGACCTACCCTACTTTTTGTGCACCAGCTGCTCGATGGAGGTGCTGAGGAATCGCGTGGACGAGCTGCTCGACTCGTACTACGAGACCCTCGTCGAGACGTTGAAGGGCCAGGACTGCGACCTCGCCGACTACACGCGAGCGAGCTTCGACGAGCAGCTGCGCCAAGACGCCAATCCCGAGTTCATTCACTGCCTGATGTCGCTCAAGTTCTTCACCCTCGAGGTGGACGACGATCTCGATCTGATGGACGTCAAGTCGACGCTCTTCGACAAGCAGAGCAGCAGCCTGTACCTGGATCGCTCGTGGGAGGCGGTGCGCGCCTACTTCCACAAGAAGTGGCTGCTGGACTGCTGAGAGTCGCGATCGAGTGGGGTTGTACGTGTGGATGTGTGTGTGTGTTTGTTGTTGCCTTTTTTATAAATATTATATTTTTTTTATCGAGTGGATGACAATGACAATTTTGTTGATGAAATTAAAAAAAAAAACATTATTAAGGCATTGATTAATTGTAATTCATAAAAAAAACTGTATAGTCGAGCGCGTGGAAGAGAATTATTGTATTAAGATTAAGGTATGTGTATAATAAAAAATGCATTGATTCAGGTAAAATATCCGAAATTGTAACATGTATTTAGATGTCTTGAAGCATTCACGCGTTATACATTCTTCAACATCACAAAGCTTTGGTTTCTCACTCTTCAAAAAAAAAACATGCGTTCGAATCATCGTCGTTGGGGCTTCGATCGAACGAATAGCTTATAGCAGCACTTCACCAATCGGACAACGCAGAGCTCGAGTTAATAAATAAAAACACTTATCGTCGATGAAGGTGCTAACATTTAACAAGATTATTCAGGTAGTTCCTTTTTTTTTCGTTTTCATTACACAAATCAACAAGTGCACAACCAAAGAGATAAAAAGTGAAATTAAAATATAATTATCATAATTCATTAACAATTGATAAAAATCATTTCGTTTGATATAAAATTCGAAAAAATTATAATATACGAAGTTAAGCGGTTAAAATACAAATCGAAAATAGTTAATAACGTTTCACAGTTAATTGTAGATTGTTATAACTTTAGTTAATTTTATTTAGAAAACTGCGTGTACACTAGCAGTTTTTTCAGTCGAAACAGGTACATTTCGTAAATTATGGCTGCCATTTTAATCGTCGAGTGAATTTAGATTAGATTAAATCAATTCTACTGCATCAGTAAGATTAATATTTTTTTTTACATTATATTCCGGTTATTATGCATCGTTGAGCTTTTTTTTATAATTTCTTTTAAAGAACTAGAAAAGATAATTTTCATTCGACGGTTCAATGTTTAGTTTGCGAATTGTACCTTTATGGAGAAATCGAAAATGATCTAAATATTACAATTTATGTCACTTTCAATGATCATTCCTTCACTCAAACATTAACTCTAAACATTTTAAAATTCTGTATATTTATTGTAGTTGAATTCAAAGTGAATGTGCGGATTGGAAATTATCGATTTAACAATTGGAACTATAATCTAAAATTCATGTAGTTTATCTGAAATATAATACGACGAATTTTTGAAATTCTCGTATTTTTATAAAAATTACAAGTAGAACGAAAACCGTAAAAATTTTAAAACAATTTAAAAACGAAAAAGTTAGGCATCACATGCATTTTAAAAAAGCTGCCTAAATTTTAATCATGATCATTGAGAAACTTCTGATATGTGTTAACAATAATATAAATTCGCTTGTATATATTGAATTCGGCTACGAAGGTCACTATCACTCATGACTTTTCAAAGCATATTTTGATATCACGATAAAATAATGCGTCGATGACGCAACAGATTGTTTTCAATGTCAACTTCCAGGTTCGTTGATAGGGATGTGTAACTCGATCATCTGAGTGACATCATCGCTTCGGTTTGGGGTTGTACTGGTTCCTTCACCTTCGACATCTCTGGGCTTAAAGTTTTTGCCGCAGTCTATTTTTTGGTTCAAACATTGAGAGAATTAATATTGGTAATTCCCTCCATAGTCCAGTTGAATTGAACTGAGATTCTTCAAATGGTTAAAATAGCCTCTATTCAAACTCTAGAACAGCTCTCAATGTTCTCAATCTTCTCCTGTTTCGACATCCTTCGGCTTACTTTTTTTGTCGCGGTCTTTTTTTCTAGCGATAACATTGAGACAGAGACTTATCCAATGGACTTCTCCTTTTTCAACGAGACCTTTAATAGAGGCTATTTTCTGCCATTTGACGAATCTCAGTTAAATTCAACTAGACCATGGATGGAATTACCAACATTAATATTCTTAATGGTCTGAACTAAAAAAAAACTTCGACAACAAGTCGCGAGATATCGAAGCCGGCGAAGGAACTAGCGCAACCACCAACCGAAGTGATGAGGTCATGGAGATGGTCGAGTTATCCCTATAAACGAATCTGGAAGTTGACGTTGAAAGAGATGCGGCATTGAAAGCCGTTAGTCTCTATTATGTGACAGAACATATTCAGATATGCCGGAGCGCATCGTGCAAATAATCTGTTGCGTCGTCGAACAAATCGAAGAAAAAGAGCCCAAATATCGCTGTTGGCGCGTGACTATTTTTACCGGCTTTTTAGTAATCCTCACCGTCGTAGTGATCCAATTATTGTTCAGCCAAGGGTGTTACGAATTAATTGGTTCAATTGAATTTAATAATATTTACAAAATATTTTGTCTACATTTTTAAAAGAGCATTTTGTAACATCTAATCAATGGTGACGATCGCCTTCATAGCTGAATACAATGCATAAGTGAAACACAGAAGGCATCATGAATTTGAAAATATAAATTCATTTTTCTCATTATTCTCTCCTCATTAGTTCATTTGAACATTATTAGAACATCAATGACTTGAATTCACGCTACAGCTATACCGTACGTAAGGAGCTATAGAAAAATATTCTCCATTGCTCTGTTTAATCGGCTGATTGACCGGCAATCCACGGTTATTCGAAATGTATTTTTCTTTTGTCTACTTCCTATTTTGAACAAGAAGGCTTTACATACTCTACAGCTATTATATTGAAAGAAAGTAAAATTTTTCACATTTTTTTATCTTACAGTCTTTTTTTTTTAATGAACATCATTTGCGCAGAAAGCTACTCTTATTATATTTCTGATTGCTGCTAATTAGAAGAGTGTCATTTTAATTTGTTTGCCTCGATTCAATTCACAGATTAACCAAACGTTCAGCACCGGTATATCGACGCACCTCGTTAATGCACTTATTGCATAATATGCGCTCACTTTATTCACTCATTTTTATTGAAGTCGCTTACTTACACATACTTTCTTTCATCCTATAACAGGTATATTGTAGACGGTACAAAAAAGTACTATTTTTTTATACTATAACTTCACGTGAAATAATTTACTTTTATATAGAGACATTTTTTTTATCGAATCGAATTGAATCGGAAAAAATTTTTAATACTTCCGGAGTATATATTTACAATTCAAAAAAATTCACGTACAATCAATTTATGACAAACTTTCGGCGAAATTCATTTTTCTACCATCGACTAATACACAACTCCTATTAAAAAAAAAAACAAACAACGTAACAAAAAGTGTCGTTAAATCTATTTACCAAAAAATAATCACGCTTACACATAAAAATGATTGAATATTTCAATTTGTTAAGAAACGTATACTCTTACTAGTTTCAAAACCATATTTTCACCGTAATATATTTTATCATTGTGCAACCAAATAAGTGCAGTCTCTAGCCACTAAAGTACATTATTGCGGTAATTTAAAAAAAAAAGTTCACTCTCGTACAATGACGATTGGCCATCATGATATCTTCCGACGCCTCCGTCGCCGAGGCGTCCGAAACATAACGAAAATGCATTGCAAAATTGTAATCTAATTTATCGTACATCACCATAAAATCGTGTGATTACCGTAAGAATTGGTTTGCTGTTTGCGTACTTGGAAAAAAAAAAAAATTAAAGCGATGCTTCGCGTCGAACGGAGCGCGAGGCATTCCTTAATTTTCTTTTTTCTGTTCTACTACGACTTACTGGAACTGCAGCAGTTGGAGCAGTCGAAACAGCTGGTGTGCTATCTTTTGTTGGACCAGACGGAGCCGCGACTGCCCGACAGGCCGCCGAACGCGCCGACGCCGGCGCCCGGCAGCTGATTCTGCAGGTCCATCACCGACTCCTGCAGTATGCGCTTCTCCTTGAGCAGCACCGATATGTCCTCCTGGGCCGCGTTCAGGCAGGACCGGAGCTCCTCCTTGACGCGGCGGAGCTTCGAGTTCTCCTCGGACAGGCGCTCCATGGTGGACAGGCGACGGCGCAGCTCCTCGTTGTCGGCCTTCAGCTGCTGACTGAACTCTTTCAAGGCGTTGATCTCCATCTCCTGCTCGACGAACTTCGACACCTGGGGACTCGTCAACATGCGAGTCTTGTTGCTGGAGGAGGTGGGTTCCCGGATGCTACTTACTAAAAAGTCAGTAATTGAAATACAAGCCGTTAGCGACGTACAGTGGAAAGAAATTACTTTTAAATGTATACAAAAAATATGTATGTATCCGTGAAAAAATTTTGATACTATATAAAAATATTTTTCAGCGATATTAGTAACAACGCGAAACCGTAAAAATTGTCGATTGAAATCATCGATTGATTTCAAAATTGATTATTTGCAACGATAGGCGAAATATTCTTAAAAAATTTCTTGTCCTATACAAAAATCATCTATTCTATAACTACGAGTCATGCTCTAAACAATTTTTGTCATTTCCAAATGACTTTTTGTTTTAATTAAAAAAAATATATAAAGCGCTGCAATTTTCTTTGCTTCTATAAAGCCTAAAAAGTGCCAACTACCACAAATGCTAATTTTGTTTTTTTATCTAGATGCTCACATTCGATAGGCCATCTGGGGTGCACAAAAAACAATGCCAATATGTAGTATAAATAACGATAAAATCACAGCTGCAAAACTTCTGCCACTTCAACATCATCTAGATAATATATTCACAAATTAAAAGTCGTAATCTTACGGAACTTTGAACAAAACAAAATATTGAACAAAAGCACATCGTTCAGAAAATGGCTCTTTGAACAGCCTGTGTGCGTATAATATAAAAACTGCTACCACCTAAATTGACAAAATAATAATAATAATCGATAGTCCAATATATCTATAGACCTTGCTCGTATATGTCTCAAACAAACTACAGTATAATATGGTAATAAATGTCAATAAACACGACAAGGGACAGAAAAATAATTCAATTTACATTTCTCGACGGGAATAAAAAAAAAACGGTTCGAAGCAAACGCTGAGAACTTACCTGCTGGCTCGATATTAAAGACTCCGCTCTCGTCCCTCGTTATTTTCAACTTGGCCACGTTCAAATCGATGGGAATCGGTCCGGGCGACGTTATATTGTTCGGTGGACGGTCTTCGTTCAAGCGTAACGTTATATTCTCTAATAATACCTGAGAGCAGGAAAAAAAATCATTCAACACCGTTTATCTAGATCGAAGCCCAAAAAAGAAAAAGTTGTCGAAATTACCTTCATCGGAATGGGTTTGGGAATCACTTCGTCCTCGATCAGGTCGGTGAGACCTGTGACGAAGCTCATCGACAGGGACAGCGGCACGTCGGCCACCTTGACGTCGATCTTGTCCTCGAACATGTTCATCACGCTCTCCTTGTCGTGGAAGTCGATGCCGGAGGTGAGCTTGACGCGCTCCTTGCAGTCGGCGTTCATGCTGGCGAGCTGGCTGGCCGCCGACAGGCGACGCTCGTCCTCGCGATTCTTCAGGCAGTGATCGAGCCGCAGCTTGACGCGCGATCGACAGTCCGAGTCCGAGGGCAGTTCCACCCAGCCCCTCGATCGCGAGCTGAATTTCGTCTATTTTTTTTTTTTTTTTTTTTTCATGCGGAGGAGAGAGAAAAAGAGAAGAGAGCAATTTGTAATTAGTTCGACTCGAGGAAGTGTGCGCGACGTGCAGATAAATATATAATAATGACGAGATCTAAGATCAAACTTTCGTCGTTGTGTTTTCAACTTTTTCAGTTCGACAATGTATCGTGTTAAAACGAAAAAAAAATTTGTATCTACTTTCTTAATAGTAACATCACAATGATACATCGTAATATATATGGCTTGCCCAAGAGTGTCAAAGCGATGCACTGATTGATTATATGTTGGCATGTAATTCGTATATCATGGTGAATTTTTTTTTTCAATTTCAATTGCTATAACTGTTGTGCTTTTTTACGTAGCTATTTGCCTCTATGAGTAGCGAGTCGCGTATAGTAAAAAAAAAACTAAAATGAACAAATTGACTCGATTGAATCTTCTCCGGAAGGCATGCTTCTAACGTCGGAGGAAGAAAAATCAAGTCTATACTTCCGATACAAGTAATGAAATTATTTTGGTTGCGAACGTAATTTTTAAAATCTTCGAATTATTGTGTGCTCTTATACTTGCAGTGAAAATGAAAAATATCTTGCGCAAAAATATTTTAGCGTAAGCCAAGAGTACTGAGAAAAAATTTTCACATCATGCACAGTGCCAAAGCAGTTCGAAATCGGTGTGATTCGTCATTGATCGTCGAATATAAAAAACAAGCTACATTAGCCTGACATGCGCGAACTAAAAGCTGAATTGTTTGCTATTTTTTTTCTATCAAAGTAAAGTACCGCAACGGTATTTTACCTCTAATTCTAATAAAAAAAGTCTTAAAGCTCTAATTTGATCTAATTTTGCTTGACTAATAAAAGCTGCAATCTAAAGACCTCATGCGTTCACTCATGGTGGGTCGCTACTATTTTGTGTTTCTTTTTTTTTTTTTTTTAATTAAAAAATATAAGTTTGTTTGCCAATACCTTTCTTTTGGCCTGCCACAAGTGCCATACAAAAACATTCACAAGAGAAGGAGGTACGCGGGAGAAGGCATGCAAAAAAGTTCAGAGACAAAATCTGTATAAGTATAACACTTATATTATGCATATAAAGAGTTTTGATTATTTTGATTATGCCCAAAGAAAAACATTAACATTTTCCAGTAGTATAATAGAAGTGTTGCCAGAAATATTTGTAATAAAAAGAAATCACAATGCTGCTGCGCATATTATGCTTTTGAGTAAAATTTTGAAGAAAAAAGTCACAGTGCAACTTATATATGGAAAGCGGGTTTTGCAAATAGACCCCTCGACAATGATCAACGAAAATAAAACTTTTAGCTTTTGTACGACTCTTTTCGTTTATTTTTTTTTGAGAATGTTATTATATACGTTTTTGTTTTATATACCTAAACTCGTGGAAAACACAGGTTACTTATTATAAGTTATAGTTTATAGGAAAAAGTATGAGAAAACTGGAAAAAAAGTTATCTTCGAAAAAGCTTCGCTATTTATACGATGGTCGGGAAAATCCTTTCCATTTCTTGTTCTCTTTCAACACGTTAATAAAAGTTTTTTTCCAGAGCAAAGAGAGAGAGAAACAAAGGTCGTTAAAAAAAGTTCGCCAATAACTCACCTGAAACTCGTCCCACGGTATGGACGAACACTCGTCGTTCGCTACGTTGCAGACTTGCACTTTGATCGCCGACGAGAAGCCGTAAGATTGCTGGATCAGTTCGACTTTGGACAGCTTGAAGGTCGTCATCGATACCTGCAATCAGAGATTTCGCGCGTCCAATTTGCCATCCGTTATTTTCCGACGAGTACTTTTTTTTTGTTTTTTTTTATCTATCGTTATCGCAACACGTACGAGATCCTTTCGCTTGCAGACGCTGTCGAGCGACTTCTCGCTCTGAGTGTCGGGCGTCTCCTCGACGACCTCGCTCGCCTCCTCGACGGCGGCTATCCGGATGGAATTGTCGACGTTGAACACGGCGTCGATCTTCTCCTGGTCCTCGAGCGACACCACGAGGTAGTTCTCGCTGTCGGAGCTCACGTCGCTCTGCATGGATATGGTGTCGCTACCGTCCTCGGGCGACGGTTTCAGGGCCGAGTCCAGCGACGTCATCAGATTGCTGAAGCCCTTCTTCATGGAAGACAGATTGACGTTGAAGTTGTTGGGGATGATGCCGCTAGCCACCGAGTCGCCCCGGGCCAGCTTGGGCTTCTCGTCGTTGCCGCTGGATTTGGACCATAGCTGCTTGGCGGCGGCCGTGGCACCGACCGCGACCTCGTCGCCGTTCTGATTGACGTTCTTGAAGGTGACGCTGGGCTGCGACGTGGTGTTCGCATTGTGGGCAGCGGCAGTGGCTCCGAAGTCCATCGACAGCATCGACGATATCTCGCTCTGCGGCGTCTCGACGTCGTTGCTCGTGTTCATGCGCTTGGCGCTGTAATCCACTCGAGCCGTGACGGCGTGCTGCCAGAGGGTCGGGCCGGAATTTCCCACGCCACCAGCGCCGACGGTACCGAAGCCCACGACGTCGTCGAGGATCGACGAGGTGTCGGGCACCACCGACTCGAGATCGCCGCCCGAGTTCTCCTTGCCCGGCGTCTGCGACGGCATTATGAAGGTCACTTCGACTTGCGGAACTAGGGCACCGATGACCATGGAACCTGCGGGAAAATACGATTTCGTTTCTTTACGACTCTCTGCGGGCGGAATATATACAATGATACTCGCGTATCAAGCGTCTCACGCAGCCTCGGCTCATTCGATTTTATATACATACGACTTTAAACAATTTATACAGCGGCATAAATTAAATTTTGCTCTGGCGATGCGTGGTGGAGAAGGCGGCGACGGTGGCTTATCGATTTTTCAGGCCATAGGCCGCAGGGTAGACTTTATTAAATGGAGCTGTCAGGCGGCGCGCGCGCGCGCGTGCTATCTTGAATGGACTCGAAGCAATGGCTTATAAAAATAATAAAATTGCTGCTACCTACTGCTACCCGCACTCGGGCGCGCGCGCCGAGAGTCGGTAATTAAATTTTTACGAGCATAACCGGCTTTTTAATAATAAAAAAAGCTGTCTTCCGACGGACGATGCTTTTTATAGCAGCTTAAAGTCGTGTGCGTGCGTGCAGCAGCAGCACTCTTAAAGAGACGTTTTTATACAAGGGAGAGAAGGGAAACGATTTTGATAAACGCTTTAAGGGTAATGAAAGTGTATCGCGAGGGGTGCGATATTATTGATAATTAGGTCAAAGGGGGTGTATCAAAGCACGAACATTTTTTGCGTGTATATATATGTGGCTCACCTCCAGTCTCGACTTTTAGAATCTTGTTGGAATCGATCGACATGTAGGTCGCCAGCTCGGCCAATTGCTCCGACAGCCTCAGCAGGAACAGATACTGATAGTGATTGATCTGCACGCTGATCAGGTTGCCGATGTAGGCGAGCCCCTGCACGTCCGGCACGTCGGACGGCACTTCCGGATTGCCGGGCTCCTTGATGTGCACCCAGAGGGTCAGCGGGAACGCGTCCAAAAACGGAACAGGCCGATTCTGACCGACGGCTCGGGCGCCGAAGAAGTCGCCCCAGACCGGCTCGAGATTGCAGCACCAGACGTCCTTGGCCTCGGTCCAGAGCAGCTCGCGCGTCAGCTGCTTGACCATCTCCGCGACCGAGTTGCTGTTGAAGTCCGCGGGAATCTTTCGAACGCAGTCCGCGCCTGTAAATCGAACGATCGAATTTTCGTTCACAGTGCTGTCAACATTTTTTTAACGCGAAGGTTTGTTGGTTTATGTACCTGCGCAATGAGCCAAAAACTTTTCGCTGATCACGTTGTAATCGTCGGGCCTGTTGGGATATTCCGTGCCGAAAAATAACTGGCCCATTTGGAAAGCGTTGAGGCATTGAGCTAAATCGGCTCTGGATGATCGTTCCGAAGATCTGACGTTCGTAATTGTTGCTCTCGAAGTTTGCAAGTGCAACGATTTTGGCCGGTCTTTTTGATTCGGATAATCTTGTTGACTTTCAAATATCACCTGAAAATATCGAAATCGATATTAATTTTTTTTTTCAAGAGTAGTGACAATTTTTTTGGTTCCTGCTAAATTTGTAAAACTTACTCTAGGTAAAATAGCTTCAATTTTAACATCGAAATACATCAGATTTGAATTTGCGCTCGCCATGTTGCTACCATTGCTCATTAATGAATGATAAAGGTTCAAAAGAAAAGAATTGAACCATAAACAGGAAGAAAGGTCAAAATTAATTTGAATAGGATTCAGCTGTACATAAAACTTGGGTGGTGGCGCTGTAAACGATAAAAAATCAAGTTTAATCTTCCTACAAATTCCATTGCAATTGAGAATTAATAAAAAAAAACTTACATGGAAAATTCAAGTCCCCAGGATAGTAGTAATAGGTGAACTCGGCATGAATTATGTTAACATCTTCCGGCAGGTAAAATCTTTCGCGATCACCTGGAAAAATCATTAAAAATTAGGTTCTCATCGCGAAAAGACAATATCAAGTGCTACAGCATGCTGAGGAGCATTGCACTTAACGGATTACTACTTTATTTCCACAAAATTTACCATGGTATAAAAAAGTCTTAGTTCACGGATTAAATTAAGTGAAGGGTCGTGACTATTGAGTGATCGAACATAAAATTATAAATAATATATATATCACATGTAAATTTCTAATGCTATAATAATGGAAAATTTTTACTGTGGCGAATTACAAATACAAAGTATGTGTAAACAAGTGTTTAAGTGTTCACCACGATTGGACAAAAGGAATAGTGACACAAGCAGGATAATAATGGTATTATACGTGTTCGAGGTGTGTGTGGTTACGCTTGGATTCATTGCTCAACACATGTGTATGATATGTGTGTTCAAGAGTTTCACTTGCACCAATGATGAGTGATACAAGTTAAATCACACTACAAATTGTTTTTTGCTGTCATTTATTATGTACCTGAGCCGTGTTTCTTCCTCGATTGCGCTATAGGTAAATATAAAATTTTCGATGAATGCAAAGTTTTTACTAGGTATTATATTTTGAATTTATTTTTTTTGTAATCTTGTTCCTGATTAATGGTAAATCATTTATATCGTTACCTGAGATGAATTCTTTCGGCGCTGCTTTCCTCGCGGACGTAGTAACTTTGTACAGCGTAAAGTCGTCTATTCTGATCACGATGCAGGTAGTCATGAGTTTCGCTAATTGCTCTAATACGTAGTTTTTAACGGGATTTCCGCTCGGATGCTGAGACGGTTTCTTAGGCTCTTGAGACGTCGAGTTTTGATTTTGATTGCTTGTTGATTTTTCACGATTCTCCACATCTTTCTCCGAACCTGTTGAATATAAGTCAAATATTTTTCACTCAATTTTTCATGATGATCGCAGATGAATGAGGGGAAAAGTTTTCTCACTAGTACTGTTGCCCTGACTTTTGTTTAACGGCGATTGCTGAGCCCGTCCAGAATCGATAAGATCCATGAACTGGCCTCGGAATGAATTGAGAGACTGCTGCAGCCACTGGCTGTGTGGCGTCGCGCTCTCTTTGTACAATGCCCAGTGCTTGCGATCGGCCAGAGCCAAATGATAAGGATAAAAATCTACTTGGAATTTGGTAAGTGAAATCTGTAGGGCACCGCCTTCCTTCAGATCGGGATGCAGTGATCTACCGGCTGCGTAAATTAAAATATATTTAGAATCATTCAAAACGATCCAATCGCGATTAATTTTTGTCGTCGCATTTTACTCACATCCCATATCATCACAGAGATGCAAGTCTATTCTTTGAGAAAGAAAGTGATACGACGTTTCCACGACATCGTATCTGGTAAATATCTTTCCAATTGCGGTATTGCTTGAGTTTCTGGTTCTCGTTTGTTGCGAAATTTGTGCTTGATATTCCGGCAATTCCTGCAATTAACGCGCGATTGAATTATGCAACGTAGTCATAGAGGCATTGTTACACTTGTGCGAACTTTCGTTTCCACTTTCATTATACTTACATCTAACTTCCTGGCTGCCTTAGTTTTTCTTTCTAAACTGGTAGCTCTTTCGATCAGTCCGCCTAACGAGTCTATAAAGTGCAATGCTGCTTTGAGCTGTGAATCAGTTAAGACCCATAAGAGATCGTCTAAAATTATGACCAGTCGTGATCCCATCACAAAACAATCTGAAATCACATAAATAAGGAAGCGTGAGTAATTTTCACGAAGGTAAAAGTTTATAACGCGTGACCATTAACGTTAAATTATACGACGAGGCAGATTTCTTATTTAAAAAAAAAACTTTGCATACATCATTAAAAGTAGTTCTATGTAATGTGAGTCACTGGTTGTAGAAAATAAAGTGTTACATCTTCAAATTAATTTTGTTACACAATTTTTTTCTGAAAAAGACAGACCAGACGAGGCCGTGATATTAGCGAGTAATTTTTTACTAATGATCCGCGTGTGACTTGCAAATTTCAAAGGAAATTCAAAACCGTTCATGCTCACTTTCCACTGAAACATTTAGCAGTTCCTCACAACAACTTTTCGGAAAAAACAAGTTAACAGTTGAGTCATGGAAAAAATTAGTTCAATAATTTTTTATAATAAAAAGACACAAATAAATTACCAGAAAGTCTTTTCTTGATAGTAACTCTACATCTTGCTTGATTTGTAAGAAGTCTTAGGGGAGTGAGATCTTTATCTACAGTACTATGTGCTTCAATTCTCACAGTTTGCCATTCGAGTTCTTTAAATATTAATAACTGCCCTCTATCAGGATCTTTAACCCTGGTTGTTCTCAAATCACACTTTTGCCACGTTGGAGATTTTGATTCTACTAGTATTCTAGTCATCTGAAAATGTGAAATTAATATAATTATAAAAATATGAAAATTATAAGTGTTTGAAATCAATTGTAAAACCATTACCTGAACTTTAGCAATAAATGCAGGGCTTTTGAAGGTAACAGAAACCGTATTGACAGTAACTGTTATGCCATCAATTATTTTATGTATGTACGAATATTTTGCTGGCCCAGTATAAGAAGCCAAACCGTGTGCAGAAGACATGTCCCTCAAGTCCTCACATGTCTCAACTTCAACATGGACTTCATCCAAAATCTGGAGAAAAGAAATTTATGAAAAATGATAACTTTTCATTAATTCATTTATTAGTTTAAAATTCAATTTCTTACCAAAAATATAGGAACATTTTTCAGCTTGGTCCACTGTATCCTGAAAGTAACTTTGTTGCACCAAGCACTTGTCAATCTCAACCATGATGGCAATTCTAATAAATCAGTTAACACAGCTTCATCAAGCTCCAAGTTTGTGAGTTCTCCTTCTCCTTTGAATGTGCTCAAATTAATTTTATCAGCAGACAAGTTTTTTGTGAATCTGAGAAGAAAAATTAAAATTGTAAGTATTAATTTAAAATAAAAGTACAAAAACTATGTTTTGCTTATGAAAACAAAAAAAAATTTTAATTAGCAAAAAGTACTAATTGCTCAGTACCTCAAGGATAGCCAGATAAGCCAATGAATTTTATGAACAATTGAAAATGTGCAAATATGAATTAAAAACATAAGATAAAAATAAATTAATAGCAACATAGCTGCTAATGTGAAAATTTGTCATGAATTTTGAATTTAAATGAAAACACAGTGTTGATGTGTCAGTCATAAAGGCTTCAAGCACACTACACACTGAAAACTCATACAGTCAACGAGTGTAGAAAATTTCAAGAAAACGGCTCTGCACACTACCTCAGAAAAACGGAGAGGGGAAAGTGTGTATACGGCCTTAAAAACGATTTTGCAGGAGAGAGAGAGAGAGAGCGAGCTAAAAGGATAATTTCACTCGATGCTTATTTACAAGATTCCTCTCTACACGGAGTTTTCACTTCTCAATCATATTTTTCTCTCCATTAATTTCTTTTTTTTTTTTTTAAATATTATTTTCGCCCACGCAACGATGGATACGTTTTTTGCGCGCTCGCGTCAGAAATATACTCCACATCGTTATCGATAATAACATCATTATTTTCCTTTCATCGTTTTTTAAAATTAAAAGTTACGTTGCGAGAAAAGTATGCTATTGATAAGAAAAACCGAATAGCCTCTCACTTCTCGCGAGGTGTGTGAGTGCAACGAGCACAGATATTATACATCCACGAGCACACGAGCTCTCGCGCACGCATATAACACACATATTTTATATATATGATTATTTAGCGATCGACGAGGCGTGAAATCTTCTGATACTTGCATCGATGAACCTAAAACGAATCGGGTACTATATACGCGCGACGATAATGTAGGCGACGCCGAGAGCGCGTGTACTTTTATAATTAATTTTTTCGTTGGAATAAATAAATTGAAAAATTCTAAAAACAGAAGCATTTTACTTTGATAACGTTTCTAGGCGAGTTTCGCGACGGCGACGACGCTCACTCAATTATCGAAATTGAAATATTAATCATGACATATAAGGCTCTGTGAGGCCGACGGTGTTGCATTATAACAGGTATCATATACTCGTGTACTATGCAACACTCACTCGCTCACACAGTCGCACACAGGCGCGGTCAAGTCAATTAATTGTTTTTTTTTTCCTCCTTTCACGAAGTATCTGCCTGTCTACTATGGTGTTTATTGATTTTCGTCACATATCCACCAATAGACCGAAACGTCTGCAATTCTTCGTTTTGTACGTATAATAAGATCGAACGTACAGTGCAGTAGTGCTGCCTATTCTTTCCTCGTTCGATTGGGCTCGTTCTAATTTTTTGTTCTTTTCTTTACTTCGTCAGTTTTTTCTTTTTTACTTCTGCGAGCGTAGCAATAAAATGAAGGTAATAAAAATTCGCGTCGACCAACTGATAAAACGTTCGAACACGATTCATACAATGCACGCGCGCTCGATGTTTAGATAAGAGGCATTAGCCAATAGATCAAAATACTCGCAAGACACATTCAGCAGTTCTCTCTCGAACGTGCATAACTTCCCATTCGTTTCCGACGCAACAGTACACATTATTTTTTAAGAATTTTTTGAACGATAATATCGTACCTAGACAGATGTTTGAGCAGCTGATTCTTGATGATCGACACCATTTTCGAGGAACAGCGCGCAGTGGAGTGTCAAAAAAAATGTTTTTTTCTCTACACGTTATAATACACAGTAGTAGCAGTAGCAGCAGCAGCGTGCAACACACGCGCCTTATCAGCGACACTCTTCCGACGCGTGCTCCGTTTTCGTTCTTTCTTTCTTTCTTTCTTTTATTCTTTTCTTTTTTTTATTTATGTATTATTTGTGTCTTTGGAGCATGTATTGTAGGTGCACACACGACACTTATTTTTATTATTATCACTGCCGCACAGACACTCTATATATATTTACAATGGATACAGCATACACACACTACCTTCACTCAACCACAACAATAACACACTGCCTCTCTGCTTATGTATACGAGTGCGATTGCTTCCCTTTTCTTTCTTTCTCTCTCTCTCTCACTCTTGTATCTTGTATCGTCAGATCATAACCGCGCCTGACGACGATTGCTCAGCTATATGACACTACATAAGCCGAGGCAGCAGCAGCTCCTATCGAGCAGCAGCGCGGACTGCTCCGAAGAGAATCGGGGATAATCGTACGTATTGTATCGTCGTCTTCGTCGTTGTCGGTCAGTGCCGAGAAAATGTCATGCTGCACAACGACACGCATAATAATAATATCCCCCTCGAGCAGCGCACCACGATTCGCACTGCACTGCACTCACTGCACACTGCTCTCCGTCTCGCATGCAAAACGACACTGACTGGCGTTGTACACAACGCTGCGGGGCTAGTATCGGAGACAGGCTGCTGCTATATCTATATACTATACACTATGCTGCTGCGCGCGCGGCGTTCGACTTGTGCAGAAAATTCGCTACATTAGCCAAGCCAAGGCGAGTTCGTATACATATATCACTCCTCTTGCGCCTGCCAAATGCGATGACACGTTTTTACGTATATACATGTATAGGTTCGCTTACACTATATAGTAGGTATCCCTGCGGTGCGCGTGGTCCGTTTCTGGCTGTTGCTGCTGCTGCTGCACGCGAACCACCGACGCGAAGGCCGCCGTTGGTTAGCAACATACAGGCGCAGGTGCACAGTAGCAGTAGCAGCAGCCAGAGCCAGCAGGGAACGAGATCGATATATATGTTTCGAGTGCGGTATTTGTACGAAAACCGACCGAGAAAGAGCTGAGCTCGTTGCGGCGTTCGAAAGTGCTGCGCTTTAACGACGCGGTCATCGGAGTTGAAATCGCGGGCGGGAGAATCGAATGCTGAGTTACGCAAACGTTTTTTTACATCGATTAATTTGAATTTGTGGATGGATCGAATGACCATAGCGCAACTCATGAACTTTATCTTTCAAAACATCTGATATTAGATAAAGTGAGAAATAATTGTATTGGAAGTTAAGTATTGTCTTTGACATATTTAATAGCAGTACGACAAATTAAAATTTTTCTCTGTTTCAAAAAAAAAACAAAAAAAGAGTTTGTTGCACACGGCAGGTGTAATAAGGTTGATGTTAATTTTACTTCTCAATAATACTGGATGCGAGCTAAGCAATATCCCAACGTGTGTACTTACGTCAATGCGTCCGATGCGCGTCGCTCGATAACTCTCGAGTCTGCCCATCTACACGTGTTTCGACTTTGGCGCTCTGAACTCACTCGGCTCGGCATGCGATGCATTTGTTGCGCAGCACGCCTGTAGCATCGTCTGCGTATTAACCTCCAATTCGACGCTCGAGCTCTACACGCCGCGTGTTGGCACACGAGTTCCAAAGTTTACATATTTAAATCATAGTTTATATATTTTATAAATTTATATTTTTATAGTTTTAACGTTAGTTAATTTTAAAACAAAAAGGTAAGTCTATTCAGAATATTTTAAGAAATGTATGTTTAGAAAAATGTCATGTACATTTATGTACAAATGTGCTAGCACATGTGATGTTTGCTTATTTAATATAAAAAGAAAATAGATTTTCTAGGTTTTTAGATATATAATGAGACACTATTGATTATTGACTAACAAAAATAAATCATTTTATTTGCAGTCAAAATGGCTAAAACAAGTTCAAGCAACCATGCCCCGCGAAAGCAGGGCATCAACAAGGCTGGTCACAGCATGAATCCTGAAAGGCCCAAGGACAGCGTCGCAGGCAAGGGTGTTTCCAAGCTAAGAACCAAAGCTACCATCAAACGTCTGCAGATGTACCGTAATTCCAAGGCAAAGCGTAACAAGGCTGGAGAAATTCTTACGCCTGCACCGTTTCAAGGATGGAATTCTGCTGGTACAATGGCCAGGGTCGAACCATCCCGTAGATGGTTTGGTAATTCTCGTGTCATTTCTCAAAATGCTCTCCAGACATTTCAAAAGGCATTGGGTGAAGTGAAAAAGGATCCTTATCAAGTTATTATGAAGCCCACTAATCTGCCTGTAACTTTACTTCAAGAAGTAGCAAAAAATCAAAGAGTACACATTTTAGAAACAGAATCATATGACAGAGTGTTTGGTCCTAAAAAACAAAGAAAGCGACCAAATTTGAATATTGCATCTTACGATGAATTCACACAGAAAGCTGAAGAAAAAGTTGAACAGTATGATAAAGAAAAAGATGTCAAAGATCACGATCTCATCAAACCCGATACTGGTATGAAAGATGCTGTGAGAGATTGGGTTATGGCTGCTGGACAGAGTAAAAGAATTTGGAATGAATTATACAAAGTTATTGATTCCTCTGATGTCGTTTTGCAAGTTCTAGATGCCAGAGACCCAATGGGAACTCGATCTCCACCAGTTGAAAATTACCTTAAAAAAGAGAAGGCACACAAACATCTTGTATTAGTGTTGAACAAAGTTGATCTTGTACCTACTTGGGTTACCAAAAAGTGGGTATCTATACTCAGCCAGGAGTACCCAACTATTGCTTTCCATGCTTCAATAACGCATCCATTTGGTAAAGGATCTTTGATTAATTTATTAAAACAATTCGCTGTATTCCATAAAGAAAAGACACAACAAATCAGTGTAGGATTGATAGGATACCCAAATACAGGCAAAAGTTCAATTATCAACACATTGAGATCCAAAAAAGTTTGCAAAGTAGCTCCCATTGCTGGAGAAACTAAAGTATGGCAATACGTTACTCTCATGAGAAGGATATATTTAATTGACAGTCCTGGAGTAGTATATCCTCATACAGAATCAGACACCGAAAAAGTTTTGAAAGGTGTCGTGAGAGTAGAGCTTATTCAGGCTCCAGAAGATTACATCGAATCAGTGTTAAAAAGAGTGAAACCAGAGTACATCAGAAAGACGTACAAAATCGACGATTGGACCGATCATGTTGATTTCCTGGAGAAGCTTGCCAGACGAACGGGTAAACTCTTGAAGAAAGGAGAACCCGACGTGAGTCAAGTGGCTCGTATGGTACTGAACGATTGGCAAAGAGGAAAATTACCATTTTATGAAATGCCAACCGGATGCACCGAAGAACATATACCTAAAAAAGATAAAAAGAAGACCGCAGCAAACGCTGAAGCAGCTGAAACTGCTGAAACCACCGAGACTACTGAAAAGGCAGAAACTGCTGAAACTGCTGACACCGCTGATAAAACTGAAGCTGCTGAAGAGGTAGAAAAGGCAGAAAAGACGGAAAGTAGCGAAGCCGCCGAAATCGACGAAACAGTCGAAACCGTCGAACTCACCGATTTGAATGAAGACGCCGACAAATCGGCAATCGAACTTCCGTTCAAAACGATCGTCGATGAATTGGCCGACGAAGTCGTCAGCGACAACGAGGACGCGGAAACCACGAAGACCGGCGACAATCTGTCAACCACCGCCGAAATGACGTTAGAAGATTCGGTTGTTACCGAAACCGAGAACGACAAAACAGTCGACCCGGAGAGTGACGTTTCTAATGACGACGACGACGACGACGACGACGAGATACCGATCGAGAAAGACTCGTTGTTCCAGAGCGCTTACGAACCTGTGGTATCAACCCTGGACTCAGACGCCACAACTTCGGAGGACGAGGCACCGGTTCCTGCTCCCAAGGCCAAGAAAGTCAAACAGATGACTGCAGCAGCACCGGTTCCTGCCGCCAAGGCCAAGAAAGTCAAACAGATGACTACGGCAGCACCGGTTGCTGCTCCCAAGGCCGTCAAGAAAGTCAAGGAGATGACGTCGGCGAGCGGCGCCTTCGAAGTGGAGGAGATCGAGCCCGCAGCAGGCAAGAAGGCCAAAAACAACAAGAAGGCCGAGCCACTGAAGAACAAGCTGACAGCCAAGAAGAGGCGCGCAATCGAGCGCGCGACCAAGAGGAAGACCGTGGGCAGCAACTTCTACGAGACGAGCAACGTCAAGAACCGTAACAGGGACAGAAAAGTGCCGAAGGAAAAGGAGCCAGTGAGGGGCAAGAAGAAGTAAAAAGTGTCATTGATGTCATGAAATCTCATGTAGTTCTCTTATTTTTTATTTGTTGTTGTTACATAGTACGTAACGATGCCACATTAATACGTACGTAAAGTAATTACGACAATATATGTAAATAATGTACATAAGCTGTAGGAGTTTAAAAAAATTCTTCTCAACTTTAGCTGTTCATCACATTTGTTACGTTGATAATATTTAAATTATTATGTATCAATATGAGTCTAAAATAAAAAAAACTTTTCTCAATTTTACAACATAAAATGCAACGTCTCTATTTAATCATCGCAAGTCTATTTTCCTGTTAGCTGCACAATTCACGTATTACATATACGCGCATTAATCATATACATTACACACGCGCGCCAATTTTCGGAGTCGCATCGCATCGTCGTTCGTAAAATAATAATCGATGTGCTGTACCTCGTTCTAGTCCGCGTGCTAATGTCTATATCTGTGTATTAAAGATACGCGCGATATATATAGAGTCACGTGAACTGTCCCACTCACTCTTGTATCATGTGTAGTTTATACTTATATATACACACTTGCCCTCTCGGCGCGACGCGTGGTAGTAAAGTTTGTGCCGCAGCAGCAGCAGCAGACTTTCGGAGTATCGCGCGAGCGAGGCATAGCAGTCTCGGCTCGTCTCTCCAAGCGCCGAGATCGTGTTCCCCCCTACCCCCGGAAATAAAACGACAACAATAGCAAAAAAAAAAATTAAAAAAACAAACAAACAAACAAACAGCGTCGATAATACTAGTTATCGCCCAGTGATTGAGTGCGCGTGAGAAAAAAAAAATAAATAAATAAAAACAATGAGCAACAACAACAACAACGAGATCGATCGGGACGAGTTGGAGTCGCTGCTGCGTCCGCGCTACGGGCCCAAGTGTCGGGTCCTCGAGGCCGAGACCTCGGACTTTCTGCCGCCCGGCGAGAATTTCGCCTGCACCCTGTACAAGGTCGAGGCTCGGGCCAGACGCTCCGAGCACGACGACGACGACGACAACGAGGACGTGCAGCGCCTCAGTCTCGTGGCCAAGACCTTCCCCAGCAGCGAGGCCGTGCTCAAGATCTTCGACTTCAATTGCCTGTTCGAGAAGGAGATCTTCTTCTACGACAGATTGGCGCCGGCGCTGAGGCGGATCGAGCTGCGTTATCGCGCGGACGCCACGGAGGACGACGCCTTCGACATCGTGCCCAAGCTCTACGGCTTCAGGAAGTCGAGGAAGGCCAGCGAGGCAGACGACGACGACAAGGTCGACGACGGGGTGGTGCTGCTCATGGAGAATCTCAAGGCCAAGGGATACTACACGATGAACAAAGTCAAAGGTACGAGGCGTCCGATACTTTTTTTTATTTTTTAACGTCATATAATGCGCGAGATTATAATAGAGAAGCGGAAAGTTACCGAGTCGATAAGAATCTCATCGCATTGTATACGCGATTTGATCATTTTTCTTTTTTTTTTCCTTCTTTTTTCTTTTAAAGCTCTAATCATCGTCGTCTCTATTTACACGAAAATCGATGTAACGCAACCACGCGCGGCGATCGGTATGAAATTCTCTATACAAAAGATAACGAAAATCCGCTTACGAATAAACGAGCGTGCGGAACGCGTACATACATAACATTTTCAAGTGCGCGCACGAGCGGTATACATAATAATGCTAACGATTATATGTGTGTGCGTGTGCGTGTGTACGCGTAACGCGTAAATTTGCGCGCGTAAATCAAGCGCACTTTCTACGATCCGCGCGCGGGCAGCGCAGCATCGCGACGCGCATTCTTTGACGAAAAACTCTTATACGTGACGTATTACGCGTACGCATTTTCACACGGATTCTCTGGGGCTCGAGAGTAAAAAAAAAAAAAAAAAAAAAAAAAAACTCATACACATCTGATCGTTAAAAAAATGCAACATCATAAGAGCACTGGAGCCGCTCACTCGCGCTGCACCTCCTCCCGCGAAAAATGTGCGGAGAGGGAGAGACACCCGTGCACTCGTTCAATTTCTCTTTGACTTTCGCCTTTCACGGAAGCGCTTGTATACATTTTATTTATATATATCTATATAAATGCACACGCACACGATCGTTAAATGAAAGGTCCCCGTGCTTATCGTTTATCCTACCGGCGGCGGCGTGTTATACCGGACCCCGCGAGCGAGCGATCGATCGGTAGTGGCGAGCGTGAAATTTTAAGAAAGTAAGATCGCTTACGCACGCACACACACGCGTATGCGTTTATGATGTCATGCGCGGCGAGCGAAATTCAAGTGCAGAAAACGACAACAAGCACAACAACACCAAAAATAATGATAATGATAATTATACAAGTAGCTGCTGCACACACGCTCGAGATCGTGTATAATCCGGGTTTTCCATGCCACTTACATAATTTCCGCATTCTCTCTTCTTTGTGTGTTTGTTGCATGTTTCCCGACTACCTCTGTACTTATACGCTGTGCAGGTCTCGACTTGGCTCACTCGCGCCAGGCCATACTCCATCTGGCACGCATGCACGCCCTCTGCGTCGCCCTCAAGCACCACGAGCCGGACTTCTTCGCCGCGGAGGTGGTCAAGCACGCCCGAGTCGCGCCCTTCCACGAGCCCGAGGATCGCGAGGATCTGTACGAGGTGATGCGTCGCCTGCTGATGCTGGACGAGCGCAACGCCCCGTACGCCGACCAGATCGCCAAGCTCCTCGGCGCCGAGTACAAGGCGGGCTTCTTCCTGTATCGGGCCCCCGAGCCCTGGTGCTCGATCATGCACTTCGACTTCTGGACCAACAACGTGCTGTACCATCGGGACGAGGCGACGGGCCTGATCGACGACTGCAAGTTCATCGACTTTCAGAATTACGTGTACAACAGTCCGCTGCGCGATCTGCCCTACTTCCTGTGCTCGAGCACGGAAGCTAAGGTGATGCGCGATCATCTGGACGAGCTGCTCGACCTCTACTACGAGACGTTCTGCCGAGTGCTCGCGAGCGTCCAGTATCCGAGGCCCGAGGCCGTGTTCACGAGGCGCAGCTTCGACGAGCAGCTCAAGATCGACGCCAAGCTCGAGTTCTTTCACAACGTGCTGGCGATCAAGTTCTTCTGCGCGGAGATCGACGCGAGCTTCGAGCCGGGCCAGATCGACGCGGTGATCATCGACAGCGGCGTCAACAAGACCGGTTACGACAAGTGGCACAATATCGTCCAGACGTATCTGAGAAAAGACTGGTTGTAATTTCGAACGAGCTGCGAGGAAAGAAAGAAAGAAAGAAAAAAAAAGAACTTACGTGAGTAATTGCGCGCGCGGTGGTACTTATGTACTTACGTTTTATACGGATGACGACGACGTTTCTCGATCATATGGTACAAATATTTTATAACTGTATTTTAGTAGTACTGCAGAAATTTTAACTATATTTTTTAATTATAATTTATAAACTATATTTTTAGTAGTGCTGCAGAATTTTTAAGAATGATGAATTGTATTGCGTTTCTTTTTTTTTATCCTGCTTTGTACAATTATCGAAACGCACACGCTGATTTTTGTATCGAATGTTAACATTTTTTATTGGATTAATAAATTTTACCTCTTTTTTTTTCTATTTTCGTCTGATTTATTTTCGTAAATTATATTACAAAAATAACAATAAGCCCTCGAAATAAGATGAGTCAGCACGTGATAAGTAACTGTGTAGCAATTGTATATTCTGATTATGGTACAATGTAGCAGTTATGTACACAAAACCAAGCATATTTTTAGCTCTGTCAATGCCTTTATCAAGTGATTCTTTATTCGTGCGATACAAGTAATCTGATGCTTCAAAGAAATTAATTTGAATGTCACGTACTCTAAATCGGTCGTCGACATTTGGCCAGACCTAAATTACGGAGCAAAAATTTTTATTCCGCTGCGTGTTTGGGTAAGCAAAGTGTTTATTGCTAAGCGCGATTTAATTGTTAAAAATAATTAACGAAAAAAAATTTTTTCAAGTCTATCACATAAGTAACACTAATTATTGTTACGAGATTGAAAAAAACGCGAGGGTAAAAAAATTTGTTTCTTTTCTACCACGACCAACAATATGATTAATCAATAATCTTATTCGATTCATTATTATATAAATTATGCAATCTTTATTATGAAATGAGTAAAAATCGTATTAAATTAGACACACTACGTGTTTCAAAATTCATTGTAAAATAATTGTCGTCGTTGAAAAATTACCAGGTTGCTAAAACTTGAGCTTTATATTTGAATCTAGTAAGATGTGAGAGCGTTCTATTCATTCCCTTCGATATATCTCCTTTTCTAAAAAAAATGTGTCGAATTGATTGATGACAATTTTTTATATAATATTTACAGATATCGAGCAAATCAAACTTACCGATGTTTTTTTTTATTGTTCTGAGAATCCAATGATTTGGATGATATTTTCCTTAATTCTTACCAGCCAGCTTCCATTGATCATCTCCAGCCGCTTCTCTCATGATTTCTCGTTCTTCTTGGTCCCACGTGGGATCATCGGAAACGTTTTCGGCCATCATACCCTCTATTTCGCGCTGTTCGGCTAGCAATTCAGGATCTTGAGATAACGGATTATCCGACACCTTAGGAGGAGGAAGCTGAGGTGGATCTTGGGGGGCAGCCTCGATATTCGTAACGGATAGCAGGAACACTTGAATGTAAGTCGTTCGAATTTATACAAAAACTTGTACTAAAACAGGACAGTTGAAATGGCACAAAGAATAAAAATCGTCATTACCGGTCCCGAGGAGGAATAATAGCAGCGAAGATTTGAACATTTTGCGGATATGAACGACGCTCGAATGAAATCGAATTACTCTGAGCGCGATTCCAGCCAATGCTCGTTTAAGTAATCGTTATTCGTATGATTTATGCGTTCGATAAAGTTTACGATCGTGTACGTACTTTTTTCGTCTAGGCGATCTCGTGCGTAAGCACATAAAAATGTTTTTTCAATTAATCAAAGTCGATTTGCGTAGATCGAGAAAACGAGATCGTTACTCGGAAATCTAATAAAACGTGTATACAAGACTTATCCAAAAGTGATGAGTTTTTCAATCGATAGTTATTCAAAAGAATTCTCAAAGTTTTGGAAAAAATATTTTTTATTCGTCGAAGCAGTCGAATCATTATTATTATTTTTTTGTTTTTTCGTTGATTTTTAGACGCAGCAGCTCGACCTCAATCTCTCAACAGACTCAACTGCAGCAACGGCATGACTTTGATCGATGACAAATCGGCCAATACCGCCTGCGAAAAACGATCAGAAGTCATCGTTAAAAATTTAATCGGTTTATAATTTACGATCGGTGACTCGCACCCCCACACCCACCTCGACGTTGTGCACCGTGTTGACCTGCATGAGATTGTCCTTGCGAAAGCTGAGTATGGTCGCGGCGAGCAGAGCGACGATCTCGAGCGAGTCGTAGGCCAGCACCAGGTCCCAGAGGTAGAGCAGCTGCTCGGGCGGCAGGTGGCCGCTGAAGCCCCGCATCAGCCACTTGAACACGACCTTGACGCTAAAAAGTGTAGTTACAAAATTTATATCTATCAACGATCGATACAATTATATTTTTTTATCATTATGATGGTCAGTTTGCAACTAACGGCGGTATGTGCAGATTGCGAAAGTGGGCCCAGAGCTCGGGCTCGTGGCACTGCAGCAGTCGCTCGAAGCACAGGCAGACCGCGACGATGCCCTGCTCGTGGCTCGACACCGTGTGCAGCCTGAACCAGTAGCGCAGATAGAAGGCCCGAAAGGTGAAGTAAATGGCGCACGGATCGTCGTACAGATAGCAGAACGGCGTGGCGTACATGGTGAAGCCGTGAAAGGGTATCACGCCGCTCGGCGGAAACACGAGGGTGTTCTCCAGCGTGGCGGGCTTGCCCTGGAGCACGGCGTGTATCACCTGGCCGCCGGCGCACTTGTCCCTCGTCACCGAGGGCAGCACCTCGCTGTCGCGCGAGAAGCTCAGCATCGTCTTGTAGAGCAGATCCTCGAACACGAAGTACTGGTCGTCGTTGCTCGCGGTCAGCTGGACGTCCTTGATGATCAGCTTGTCCACCATGATGTCGTACTGCAGGACCATGGCCTTGAGCTCGTCGTAGTAGTCGGCGTCGGCGTCGCGCACCACCGAGCCCAGCACCAGTGACCAGAGACGGCCGCGCAGCGCACGGGGACAGCCGCGCTTGAGAAATTCCTGGGCGACGGGCGCGTGATTGGCCTTGAGGACTTTTTCGCCCAGATGGATGCGCTCCGCTTCGAAATTGGGGCAGTGGGCGAGGCTGCTGGGCACGTTGCCGTTGACGCCGAGCAGAGGCTCGCCGCGGGATAACTCCTCGTACACGTCGCGCTGCAAAGATGCCGATTTTTTACTCGATGTAGATTTCGATCGGTATATATATTATATGGATAGATCGACGTACCAACTGAGCGAGCGTCTTGACTTTGATCTGTATGTGGCTGAATTCCCAGTTGAGCTCGTTTCTGAAGCAACGCGATTCGTTAAATACGAGATTACGATATTATTATTATTCAAATAAGACATACTGTGATCTTACGGCTGCTTTTTGAAGGTCGGATCTCTCAGCGAAAACAGCACCTCCAGAAAGTCTTTCGGGGCGAACAGCGGCCTGTACTGTCCCAGATCTATACAATCAAAAATGATGAAAAATAATAAAAAAAAATCATGCACCAATTATAATGTAAATTATATGAAATTCATTTCAAACCAAAATCGCAGGTACTGAGCTCGTTCCACTTCTCCGCGAGCTCGTCGCGATCCGCCGCGGACCTCAGCCGCGCCAGCGGTATATTCAGCTCGTTGCACATGGAATTCAGTGACTTCTGTATTCGACGCTCCCACTGCATCTGCGCCTTCTTCAGATAGCTCAAATCGGCCCCGTAGACGTTGGCTTGCTCTTTGGGCTCGTCGAGCCTCTGTACGTATATATGATAAAAAAAAAAGTAAGTCGAGTCGCTTGCAGCAGTTTCGGGTAGGGTGGGGTTGCAACAATAACACAAAAAAAAATAACAGCGGAACGTGTTGATATTATTAAATAGTAGGGTTTATAACCTGCGACCTCATCCAATGGAAGACGGTATTTCTTAGCTCGGTTTCTAAACCCTCCCTCTTCAGAGCCTCGAACAGTGTATTCTTGAAGTCGTCCTTTTTCACGGCAGACGACGCTACTATCCTCTAGAAAACGATTTATAATAAACGCAAAGGAGGCTTAATCAATCAATAGCATCAACCATATGAATGTGTCATGTACTTGTATCTCGCTGTAAAGCTGCTTGTAATTGCTCATGCCCTGTATCTCCAGGCTCAATTTTTCGGCCATCCCTTGGAGCTGTTGAGCTTGATCGCTCGCCACCGCCGTTGTCACCTGCTCCTCCTCGTCCCTCACCTCCTGACAGCTATTTTTCGCCTTCTTCGTCCTCCCACCGCTCGCTGGTTGCTCCGTCGCGAGTTTTTCCTTCTCCATGCTCCTTCTTTCGAAAAACCAAAATAAAGATCAACCGAAACGCATAGCGTAAAGCTCGTTTTCACTCGATGATCGGTCGCACGACTACTCGTACTGGTTACTGCTGCGACGCGGCGCTGCTCGTGGTGTGCATGTTACATTTGTTTACGTACGCGTGTGTGAGTGCGCGTCCGTGCGCGCATAGAAACAGGTGCTCTTCGTATATATGCAAGGTGGTATTTTTTTTATCTCGCGATCTGTTTTTTTTTCTTTCTTCGTGAATAAAATCCATTTTCTGTTTTTTCTCGTGAACGCGACAAGCTCGCCACTTGTTTGAACAATTTTCGACATTCAAAGGTACAAGCACGTAGATCGAAGTGCATTAAACGTTCATGAAAATTCAACTCATTATGATTTTTGCGGTGTCGTTCGATGACTATTTTTAATCTCACGAGTATAAAGATGAAGTGGGCCACGTTTATTTATTGTGTAATAACTTGTGCGCGGTGCGACCAACAAAATATTTTTAAAAATCTAAAAAGTATTTTTTTGGTCGATACCTCCGAGACGGAATGTAAAAGAGGATTCACGCTAATAATGGTTACTTATGAGTAAATTAAAATATAAGAAATATTTCGTTATATCCATTGAATCAAAAATATTTCAGAGAGTTCTTCTGGAAAATTGTCATCAAACGATGAATACAGGTAAAAAAGATGTTATCGTTTTTGGAGAGTGGAAAAATTGTGAAATGCTTTCTTATAGACCTTTACCTTTGCTCATTTTCAATGTGATTCGAATTAACGATACCTTAAAATTGGAAAAATATCGCCGATTTGTGAATATCAGGAAATCGAATTCAACCATATTGGACAGAAAAGTTCATCCTGTACAAATAGTTTTCATAAGAATTAACTCAGGAAAGGAACTGTTGCATTATCTCACCAACTTTCGAAACTCTATTTTTTGGAACAGTCGTGCAACGCTTTTTATCGTCGATAAAAATTCGACTGATCCATGTTTTATCTCGTATGAGACATTGCACATAGCTTGGAAATTTAAGATATTAAATGCTTTTTATCTGTGTAAAACTAACGGCGACAATCTCACGTTGTATACTTACAATCCTTACGCATCGATCGCATCGACATTTTGGAAGTCGAGCAAAAGTTCAAAATCAAAAAGTGAAAAGTTGACTTTATTTTCGCGCGGGATACAAATTGATTCGCCGGAGCGAGGTAAATTTGTGATTGGTAATTGATCGTCGATAAGAGATCGTATCATTTTGAATTTCTTTATTTCCAGATGAAAGAGAGTTCGAGTTATGTCACTTTGACCGATCGCGAGATTTAGCGGGTTACGAATTATTTTTGAGCGTGGAAACCTTACTAACGATATCAGACCCCAAAAATTTATCGGATGACGATCTCGCGCGTATAGATTTCGAAATATATTTCTCACTCATGAAAATAATAATTCAGCATATAAAGGCCACGTATCATATAAAAATATACCCTTATTACGTCGCTCCGTTCGACGAAAACGGTGATCCCCAAGGATCGAGCATGGATATTATTTCTGGAAAAATCGACATCTCCGCTCGACCCAGAGTCATAGACGAGCATTGGAAAATGCAGACCGATTTCGTCAAGAACAACGTCGTATACATAGTATCGCGTAAAAGTGTGACCAGCCGTTTGAGAGTCATGTTCGCGTCGAAGAATAAGGCCTCCGGCGTATTTGCGTGCGTAATATTTTTCATGTACGTGATTGCATTGCGATGTATTTTCGAGCTGTCCTGGACTCGCTCTTTCTTCGAAGTCGTTCGATTGTTTTCCCACTCGTTGCAATCGAGCATTTTCACAAAAGCTCGTGGCGCGTCGGAGAGAATTCGGATTCTGGCGATGATCGTTCTCGCGTCGCTCGTCGGCACTTACTTCCTGACGTCGTTGAGCGCCCTCGGCACAATTACGAAGGCCCGTTCGGATTTCGAGACCATGAGCGACATATTAAGAGACTCGGACTATACGATTTACGCTTCGAAGGTGAATCAGCAACGAATGCGCCGAGCAACCGGCAAAGAAATTCGCGCGTACGACGATATCGCGTCGTGCTTGGAGATGCTCCGCGACGACGAGCGGGTGGTGTGCTTCGGGAATCCGCCACAGTTGAATCTTCGCGGAGTCCGCGAGACCGAGGCGATACACGTGTCGAGGCCGGTTCCGATGCCGTTCGACGGCTATCACGCGGCACCGGATTGGCCGCTGTTGGCGCGATTCAATCGGATGATCCGTCGAATCGGAGAGGCTGGAATTACCATGCATTACGCGAACCGAATAAGGAAGCTCGCCGCTGGTCGCGATAAGAAAACCGATCGGGGTAGCGAAGTGAAGGGGGCGGCTCTCGTTTTGTTTTGCAGTTGCGGAGTTGCGACATTGATATTTCTATTGGAAATATCGAAAAAACGATTTTTTATGAATTTATCTATTTTTGTATAACGTTTTTGATGAATGGATTGCTAATACTTTGTAATAAAAATTATATTTAAATCGAACTATATTAAAAACAATTCAGAGACATTGAATAATTCTTTTTTGATTTAGATACATGAATTTTTCAATTTTTTTTCTTCTTATCTTGCGCTTTCTAAAGCACAGCTCTTACCTTGCAGCTTATGCGTTATATATAGTCGCAACTACAGCGTCCGCGAATCTCACCGCGAACCCCTACTTCTCTGACTATTCCTGGACATCGCCTGCAAACGAATGAAAAAAATCATCGATACAAAAATTTCAAACGCTGTGCTAAAGGCATCGTGCTAAACCCACGTGTATGTTGTTATAAACAGGATACATGGTCACGATGTAAGGATCGCTCGCATCCCTGAACACCGTCTTCACAGCTCCGATGTAAAAGTCGTCCGCCGTCTTTCTCTCAATGTTGTACGCCACGCCGATTTTCCGCAAGCCCAGAGAGTAAATATCCGAGAGCATGGGGTACGTGTGGCTGTAACGCAGCGACTCCATGACGCCCGCCCCGCCGTCGCGTTCCAGCTGCTTCCACAGCGTCTCGTCCTGGTCGTGATCGCTCTTGAAGCCGGACTTGAAGCCGCTTCGGGAGAAGCACTTGATGCAGTTGACGCGGCCGAGGCCGTCGCAGCCGCAGCTCTTTCTCTCCACGTGGGAGCGCGGGTGTCCGTTGCGCGCCGACACCGACCAGTCGAGCAGCTGCTTCGCGTCGTGTATCGAGCGCACGGAGATCGACGCGCCTCCGGAGATTTCGTCTGCGCGAGAAAATTTATACGAGTTATTCCAAAGTTTCGACGACGATGATCATGTCATTTTCGATGCGAAAAAAAAACCTTCGAAAACGTAATCTTTGCCGAGCAGACGAGCTCGATACACTTTCACGAGGATCCGTCTGGCGGCTATGTCCCTTAGATCAGCCGCTGGATATCCCGTCTGGTCCGAGATAACGTCGAAGGCGCAATTGTGTCGATGGCCACCGCTGCAACTGGAGCTGCCACCGGCACCGTCGCAATTTCTCGGCTCGCTTCCATCGACCAGCGCAAAGTGACGTTTTTCTCTCGAATACTCGAGGCTTATTCGGGGCTGACGATGAAAATCGCGCCCGAACAGCCAGACCTCGTACTCGTTCTTGAACCAGCAGTTGATTGGTCGCCTCAGGAAAAGGCTGAGTTCGGCTATGTGGGATTCAGTAGCTGGCCCGTGAACGATGGACAAAATCGTCTCGCCCTGGATTGGTTTCATGGTATTATTGACGCGTTCAATGAATTTTAATATTTTACTATTTTTTTTATATTTTTTTATCGATTTATTTTTGATTAATCAACTTGTTAATTTTGAGCCGAAATGATAGTTAACAAATTTTGATGAGTCCGAAATGATAGTTAACAAATTTTGATGAGTCCGAAATTAAAGGTTATCGGGGACTGCTCGTGGCAATCTGAATATACTTACTTTCTATTTTTTGTAAAAAAAATTTGATGTTCCATTTTTCGTTATTTTTGAATTTTCGTTATTGAAATTTCCACTGAATATAAACCTTCTTGATCACTAGTAGACGCACTTCACGCGCGTTAATTTCAATTTATATTCACAAAGTTTCATTATGCTCTATTTTATTTCGATTTTTACTTTGGTAAATCGCCAGTTTACGTCCGATCACTGATACGAAACTAAGCATTGTTGAGCGAAGGGTTAGTACTTGCATGGGTAAGTACCTGGGAATCCCCCGTGACGTCGGGAATCGTAGCATATCGTTTGTTTTTCGTCGACTACGTTTTTGTTACACTACGCCCCTATCGTTGAATTGACTGAATTTTTGAATTCGAACATATGCATTTGCCGTTTAAATTTATTTCAAAAAATAAGATTCGAAGTGCGCTCATCGAGACCATTCCTACAACGAATTTTTATTCTTCATGGAATCGTTGCAAAGAAAAATGAAACCATATACTATAAGGGTCAATTTTAGACCCATTCCACTGCCTTATTTCCATCAGTATAGTAAAAAATGAAGATAAGGAGAAAAATTTATGATTATTTGAACAATTTTCAGTTCCATTTCCAACTCCATTTCCAGACCAATCTTGGATTGAACTTGTGTCTGAAACTTCTTTGCCGATGATCGATAGTTTATCAAAGTTCGAAACTAACCTAAAAGTAAATTGCACAACGTGTCAATGATAGGAATTCTATATTCATATCCGAGCGAGCCGCTGCCCCAAAAAAATTCGTCGATGACTCAGCGTATCGATTGTGACGACCTCTATTAACACTCTTAGTTGCTTGTGCTGCCATGTGAACGCGTCTTAACCTGCTACAACGGGCCACCTGGTCGATTGGTCTCTCCCACTTTCTGTATCTCGCACACAAAGAGAAAGTTCCGCTGCGGCTATATACATCGACGCGTATAGGCCATGCCACGTCACGTGAACATCGTACGATCGTGATGGATGCGGGTGATTGTGGGAATTTTCAACGCGTGTCCAACGGAAGTAACGATGTAACGGGTGGATTTCTCTCTAAACAGCCCAACGTGTCGCTTACGTTCCGTGACGTGGCCACTTTTTTCTGGGTTTCGAAAATTGGCGGCAAAATGCCATCGGTCCTGAATAGGTTTCCGAGTATTTTAGCGAATCGCGAACCCGCTCGATAATCATGATGTGCGAGGACTACGATGGACGGTGGCACGTATTCCAGTGGAATATTATATTATTCCACGGCATGGTTCGCAGAGCCAAATGGCATATGGGCGAGAGTCGCCGACGGACATTTTCCTAACGCGAAAAAACGTAACAATTTAGTTCCGAGATCGACCGCCACGTTGCGGCGCCACGCGTCGACGCTTCGCGCCTGTATTGGTGAAACCGAAGCGTTGAGCGTTCATGTAATGTATACATGTGTGCAAAATATAGATATACCGCAATGTTTAACATTACGAGCTTGTATTTAGTGCTCATACAGTCTCTGAATTGGTGTGCTCGCGAGCAGTCGAGAGCAGCAGCATTCTGCTTAAAACACAAACTATATCGCGACAAGTAGATGTTGAAGATCGTCTCATTTTTTTTGCATAATTGTATTATTTAAATAATTAAAAATGGACGACATATCTTCATTCGTGGAGGTGGAGTTGCGCGAGGGAGAAGAAGTTGACGTCGAGGAAGTCGAGGAAGTGCCGCCAGGTAAACAATTCGGATTTTCTCCGCTCGTGTGTGTCCCTTTTATTTGTTAAGCTTAACCTGAAAACGGTTTCAAAGTTTGCTATTTCGCGTTTGACATTTTTGATTGATTGGTCTGTTCGTGTTTGTTTGTGCCGAACTCTGTTTTTCCGGAAAGAATCATTTTATTTGATGTATAGACTTGTTCACGAAAAAATGAAACGCTTATTTTTATTAATTGTTTCATTTTTTTTTTTTTTTATTATTTTATTTATTCCAAAAAGTACTTTATTTTACTCGAATTAATTGATATTTTATTTTTTCAAAATTCTTAGAAATTTAAGTATTAATTATTAATATATGCAAGATTAAAATTTACCTTAGTGATATGATAATTAAGAATTGTAGTGTAATGTTTAGTTGAAAATTTGATAAATTATATCTTTTATAATAATAATGTAATTTCTGCCATTCAATTCATTGATTTATACCTTAAAATTGAGTGAGCATAAAAAATGATACTAATAATAAACACAAATATTCCAAACACTCACACCCTTCGTATCATATTGATTATTAACAATAAAAATCAAAACCTGAACGGTGTAAGCCTTTGTCTGTAAATCAAAACCTTCTGGGAAAATTTAAATTCCTCATGTTCTACACAAATATACTAAAAAAAAACAATGTTTTGCTAAGTGATCTGTAATCTTTTAAAATGCTGATTAAGCTACACCTGGAAAGTAAAAATCACAAAGCAGAGACACTGTGCATTTTGTGCATTTTGACTATATTTGTGACAGATAATAAGTAAGGAGTTATAATTTTTTAAACAAGTTCAACTCCATAATTGAGTTTTTTAATCATTTTTAGTAGTAATTGACATAATTTTCATTAATTTCAGTGGAACCAGTTAAAGCATCTAAACCAGAGCCAAAATCTTATCCTTGTCAGAAATATTCCCAAAGTGAAAATGAATTTTATAAATTAACATATGGGAAAGGTCAGTATCTTTATTGCTTTCAAATTTTCTTTTTATTATAATATATTTATAATATATTATTACTTTTTTTAGACATTCCTGGAACTCGTTTTATGAGGCTTCATTGTACTGGTTGTGACGAGCACATAGGCTCTGCTCCTAGTGAAGAACAGAATATGCATGAACATCCTGTTCTGAAAACACTACTTTGTACCAAATGTTATCAATTTTATGGTGATGGTAATTTTGAGCAAGGTTAGCATGAATAAACAACTTGAAATTTTTATTCAATGCAATTTTTAATAAATATAATCTACCTTTATACAGGGGAAGATAAAACAGACATGTTCTGTAGATGGTGTGCTAATGGGGGTAATTTATATTGTTGCTCTAATTGCAGTAATACATTTTGTAGCAAATGCATCAAAAGAAATTTTGAACCCAACGTTATAAAAAAAATTGAAGAAGATGAGAATTGGAAGTGTTTTGTTTGCGACCCATGTGATATTTTTCCATTAAGATCTTTATGTAGAGCTTTATTAGAACACATCAAAAAAGCAAAATTGTAAGATACTCATTTAATGATTTTAATACTGATAGTATTGCTATGAAACTCTTGTCTGATAAAGTTCCTTTTTTTTCAGTTTGTTAGAGTTTTCAACTAATTTAGATGCCAAAACTAAAGAAGAAAAGATGCACCTTGATGAATCTAAATGTTGTTTACGTAAGCGTAGAAAGCGAACACATAGTTTATCTCTTTCAGATGATGATGATGATGATGAAACAGACGATTTATATTTACCTCACTCTAAAAAAAATCAATCCAAAAAGCGTAAATCTACTCGCAAAAGTGATTTTACTAATGGCCACAGCAAAGAAGCAAAAAGAATCCCAGATCCTGTGAACACCTCAGCTGAATTTGACCCATCAGACTTATTAATTCCTTGCGAACAAACAATGATTGAGGGCGATGAAATATTAAATCCTGAAAATGCTGAACCTTCTAGAGATGGTGAAGTTTTAGAAGAATCAACTGAATCATCTGAAATTATTCCAGTGGGAACAATTATAGATAAACAAACGAGAGACAAAATTGTAATTTGAAATGAAATTTTCTTATCCATATAACACAATACCTAAAATTTATCAATGATTTCACTTTTCAGGAAACTAATGGTCCAATAGGTAACAAAACTTTTGCCAATTTACTAAAAGCGGCAATGGCAAAATCAAATAATAAAACAATCCAGATTACAACTACATCAAAAGGCACAAAAACAAAACTTGTTGCAGTACCTATCTCTCGTGTAAAACAAGCTATGTCTTCTAATAGCCTAAAGATTGTGAAGCCTCCAACGCACTTTCTTCTTTCAAATTCGGGTCAGAGAAGAATTTTACCCAAAATAATTCCCAAACCCATTCCTCTGGGTTTAAACTCGAAACCACAGTCTACACCTAAAGTAATAAATTTAGATGATGAAGATGAAGTGGAGGATATCACAGAAGTTGCAAATACATCATCATATAATCAGTGTAATGGCACACAAGTACGTATAATTTTCACAATCAATAAAATAACTTTAGAACTTTTCTCAAAATATTTTAAAAAAGCTGAGAATTTGATTTTGATCATTAGCAAAATTAATTGTTTTTTTCATGGATGTATATTATGTAACAATCGATAAAGACTTACTTTTATGATAATTACGCCAATTCTGTTCATGTATTAGAAGTTTTATTTTTTTTTTCTTATAAGCCAAATTAATATCATTAATATCATTGTTTGTGCAGACCACCAAAGAAAATCAACAAGCAGAGGAATCATCGATTTCGATTCCAGATCCAGATACTGACCCTAAAGTATCAGATAAAAATGATAATTGGTCAAAATCAAAAGATACTGTGCCCAATCCGTTTGCCTTTGAAAACTCATCTGCTATGAAAACGAAAAATCGAGATTTGAGGTTCAAAAAAATGTTGCAGCTTCAGGGGCAAGAAATCGAAAACACGACTTCAGAACTCAAAACTAAAATTTATAAACTCATACAGAATTCCAATTTAAAGCCAGCTCAAGATGGTGATTTGCTGCAATCTGCAGCATTATCTACTAAGAGGTTTCACAGAGCTATGAAAAAAACTTTAGCTGAATTAGCGCACATTAACGATAGGTTAGTACGTGATTTTCTTCATTGGAAAAAGAGAGCGGATGTAATTCCTGGTGTTTCGACGACTGAAGAAAACAAAAATGTTCAAACGGACGGACCAAGTAATAAGAATTTAAGCAGCCATGTTTCTTGTGCTGAGAATAGCAATGAAAATGAAGTTGCAACAATTGGAAATGAAAATAAGACTGATTATGAAGTTATTGAAATCGATAACCGTGATAGTAGGCAATTTACAAATGTTGAAGTGGCTAGCGATAATGCTGAAATTATAGAAATCGACAATAATCAAGAAAATAAGGAAAATCAAAATGAAGTTAACCTCAGAGCCAGGTAAGATTCATATTAAAATTAACCAATTGAAACTTTTTTAACATTATGTGTTTTCTTTATGTTATCAGTAGAAAGACGAATAAATCAAAAGATGATATACCATTAGAAATGATATGCGAGAGAGACTCCGCATCTGATTCTTCTGATGATGAAATGGAATCCACAATCTTAAAACCAACCATAACGCCACTCGAGTTTGCTAGTTTGCTCGATCACTTATCGATTTTTAAGAAAAAGATAACTTGCAACAAATCTGCTGGAGATAACAGTATAGCACATACCGAAGACAGGGGCTGTCAAGTTGACATTGTACCTAAAAGAGATTTCGAAAAGTGTATAGGATATTCGCTTGTAAACAGAGCAAAATCGGATGCACAATCGGAGGAGCCTTTCACGGAGTCTGAAACTTCAATTAGTAACAATTTTGATGAATATCAAGAACAGTATTTATTTTATCTTCAGCATATAGAAGACAACGGTATTGAGACTGACGAAACTAAGGTTAATAAAATTGAGACATTTTTTCTTAGCTGTAATAGTTGATACTCATTTTTTATCTATATATTTTTCAGGGGTTTACAACAGAAACCGATCACATTCCTGAAAAAACGCCTACAGATAGCTCAACACCATCTAATAACGATGAAATATGTCCAGAGATATCTTTAATTGGTAGTAGACCAGAAAATAATACTTTCAGTGATTTCACTGACACGCAAACAATAGATTGCAATTTACCATCACTTATAGATCATTTTGTTCAAGAAAATAGTCATAACAATTTGATGACTGAAAGCCAAGTTGATGAACCTGAAATATTATCCTATTATCAATCACCAAAAGATATGGATGCACTTTTAGAAATTGTCAAAAAGATTCCAGAAAACTTAGAAACTTAACAAAAGCGTCACAATAGTTTCATAAAATACTTCTAAAATGTTACTCACAATAGCTGCAAGTAAAGTCACAGTTGACTGATGACTTTCTTGGTGTGATTATATTTTTAAATTTAATGAATCTATCAGTTAGAAGCCTTTTATAACAAATCTAGTTAATTTTGTTGTCACTGTAAATAGTATTAGGATAAGAGTCTTCTTACACGTATCGATTTTTATACTCTAGTTCTTAGTTATCATTAGATTAATGTCCAGCATAATAGGAATTCACTCGAAAAATAGTCATTGCGATATACAAGTTGTTTTTCTAAAATTTTCAATGTTTTTCATTTATACAGATGAAAAATAGAGTAAATTTAATGAGTTTTTGATAAACTTGAACTTAAATTACTCGTAAACTATTGTGTCGATAGTTACGAAAAAAATGTTTTAAATAACAAATTTCATAACGAAATATTATGATTTTTCGGGAAATAATTTGCGCAATAATAGTAAAATTTATTATTAATGCTTTTAATGTATTATCAAATCTAAATATATCTCTTAGGTTAAATTACAATGTGTATAATCGAAAAATGAATTTGTACAGCAACTTCGATAAGTATTTTTATAATTGAATTTTATTTATTTTTAAATAAAATTTCAATCTTTAGGATAATGGCGTTTAAGAATAAGAATCAGTTTAATGTTATTTAAAATGATGGCGAACATCATGATACATCTCATAAGTTTTCAAACACAAAAATCATAAACGCAGAATTATGTAAATAATCAAGATAGGTAGAAAAACTGTTATGTGTTAAACGCAAGCAATGATCGACCGCTATTCTTCTAATTTGTTTTCTATCTTGAAAATAATTTGTACATAAATAATAATAATAATTATAACGTTCGTCTGCTCGAATAAATCCCACTGGACGAATTATCATAAAAACTTTGTTGTATGTACATTTTTTTTCATCCATTTCGTAGTATTATATACTCAAGAACTTTTAAAACTAATCATATCTTATTGATTCAAATAATAAAAATTTGTATATCTGGTCATACATAGTAAAAGCACGAATTATATTTCTCATTCGGTTTATAAAAAATAAATTAACATATAAGTCACTACATTATAAATGCATTACAGTATACTGGTCTTCTAGTGTTCATTCTTCTCAATATCGGAAGTTTCCTTTGCGTCCATTGCTACCATTGTGATAAACTTTCAAGGGTGTGTAGCTTCCATTACCGTTCATCGCTGTAAAGAAATAATCACCATTAGATGCAATACTACTCTCAATATCATATCGTCTAAAAGCTCGAGCAAAAGCACATATAGTATACCTTGAACGATACTGGGCGTATGATTTCGTTGTCCGTTTTGTTGCTGAGCGGATTGAGCGTGATGGCATCTGGGCTTCAGAACAGCGTGATACGTGGCGAAGTACAGCGTCGCGATGACGGCAGACGCAATGGCCAAGCATTGATAAATGTAGCGCATTGCGACGACTTCATCGTCCCTATTCACTTTGTCGACGCATGCACTTATTATAGAGCCGATAGCCCGACCTGTTGACGAATCAATGATGAACATTTTTGAAATGAAGGAATAAACAAGATTTGCGATAAATGATCGGGGAAGGGTAGATTACCGATGCAAAAGTGAGCAATGACCGGTAGAGCCTGTCCGCTCGTTGTCATTTGCCTGGGTATGAGATGACGGAAGTAAAGCATAGCCGTAACCCAGAGTATGCTAAGGGTAAAGAGCTCCAGGGATTCAACCAGTAGAGTCCACCATATATCAGTCACTAAACTCAATCCTGTAAATCTGTTTAAAAATTCGAGGATCGTTAATACCATGACAAGTAAAATATGTTTTGAGTGAAATCATTCGTACTCTGACGCTGCACATTACGCTTACCTTACAATGTAAAAAACAAAAGCTATAATGAGTAGATTACTGTGTCCGCAGTAGTCAACGAGACGCTCGGACTTCCAGAGGAAAAGAATAGCCGGTACGGCACCCACTGTCATGGCAATGCCAATCGTAAGCTCGTTACTCCTCAGATGCAACAAGTGTCTGCAAATAGTACGAACAGATCATGAATATTTACGACATTTCCACTTTACCGTCAAAGAAAAAAATTAAAAACCTACATCGGCAAATACATATCGATGGTGCTCCAGAGCGTACCAGCCAGGAGCAGCACGACGAACAGTGCGGCGGCCTCTCCGCCGTATCTTCGCACGTTGCTCATCGGCAGAACACCGCCGGCGCCGCCGCAGCCGCCGCGCGTGTGCCACCACCAGTCGGGCGGCGCCAGGGGCATGCTGTCGGCGCTCAGTGCGACGCAGGCCGCGATCGTCGCCAGCAGTCCGTGCAGCGTCAGCGGCGCGTAATAGGCCATCGAGCTGCCGGTACCCGTGAGACTGGCCAGGTAGCCCGCGAGGGCGCCGAAGACGGCGAAACCCGCCGAGCCGAAGGCCAGCTGACGGCCGACGTCGCCCCGGCCGCAGGCGGTCTCGCGCGTCGCCAGGACCACCGCGGCCTGGACGAGGGTGAGCCCCGCCATGGGGAAGATGTCGGCCAGAGACCTGATGGCCAGATACATCCAGAAGGTGAGCTGCTCGTTGCCGATCACCTGGCCGCACTGGCTCTCCGACAGTACGCTCGTTTCACCTGGTGTGAAGATGGTATTTGGAATGAAGCTTCGATACGCATAATTACGTAATTATTACCCTTACCGTACTCGGTGTCGTAGGGATTGTCGATGCTGCACTCGACCACGCAGCTCTGATTGGCCGACCTGGCGGCGATCTCGTAGGCCTGCGGCACGGTGCAGTCGAAGTGTTGCGCCACCGGATAGACGCACCAGTCCTCCGTGTCCTCGGGATTCGTGGCCTGGCGCAACGTCGCGTCGACCAGCAGACTCTTCTTCGAGTCCGTGAACACGTGGCAGACCGAGCGATTGTTCCGCTTATCCTTGTAGCAGACCTGCGGAGCATCTTTGACCACGTGGCGCTTGGATCTACGAGAAGACGCTCTCTTCTCCGCGACGGTGTAACGCGGATTCGGCGTCGTCTCCAGGGGTATGACGTTGAACTCGTCGTCGTCCTTGATGGGCCTCTGACGGAAGCCCTCGTCCTGCAGCACGTCGGCGCTCACGCTCGGATGCTCGTACTCGTGATCGAGACCCACGTGATCGGCCTGCGCCGGCGGAAACTTGCCCCTGCGACGACGCTCGTCCGGCGGATAGCAGGCGTACTCGCACTGCTTGAGTCGCAGACGGCCCACCGCTTGAAACGAGGCGTCGTCCTCGTCGTTGGACCAGCGATGGCAGCCGAGCTGCTGGTCGTTGCGGCAGCGCTCCTGGTGTACGACGGCGCCCCGGGCGTCGCAGCTGAACTTGACGCCGGGCCGCTGCTCGGCGGGCAGCACGATCCTCTGGACGCTCGGCACGGTGAGCAGCAGCGAGTAGAACAGGGCGGAGAACACGCAGCAGCAGGCGATCATGACGCGCAGGTAGCGTCCGCTCTGGTCGTCGCCAGCGCCACGAGCACGACGACGCAGTGACGACTCGACGTTGCCGACGATGACCGCCGAGGGCGGACTGCCGCTGGCTCGACGCGTCGCCGCGGCCACTCGGTCGGCCAGAGGGCCGGCGATCAGTGGGCCGAGCACAGCCACCGTCGGGGCGATCATCGAGATGGTGCGTATCTCGCGAGGGTCCAGGCCCACGGCGAGCATGTGAAGAGGCAGAAACGGCAGTAGACATCCTAGGCCTGTACAGTGAAGCAAAGAATTTATTCACTTATGATAATCATGGCGGAAATGCTCGACATTTTGCGTGGCTAGTTTTTTGCGCATATCATAACAAGGTCTGGAAACGTATAGGAAAAGTAAATGCTTCTGATACTTATATAATTATTTTGACTTTGCCACTTGCAGATTTATTGAAATAAAGGTACTCGCCATCTATCGGTGGAGGCTTGAAATAGAATTATCGTATTGAAAGGGATGGAAATTTAGTTTAAATTTTATGATACAGTTGAATTGTCATTTACAGGCCATTCAAAATGCGATTCGCATTGATAGCATAATTTTATCCGAAAATTATTAATAACATTACGAAGCCTTTAAAACAGTCAGTTTTTGGTCATTCAGTCATAATCAACGTCGAGATTTGATCAATTACCTCCGAAGAAGAAAAACAGCAGGCACTTGAGCGATAGCAAGCTGGCCTCGACGACCTTTCGCTGGACGCTCAGTCCTCGATTGGTCGTCGTGGACTCCTCGCCACCGCAAGCACCCGTCGACGCGTCCGTCGTCGAGCTCATTTTGAAACTTTGGTCCTTGACTTATTTATCACCAGTGATCTCTTCTCTCTCTCTGTTTTTCTATGTGTGCGTTGAAAACTTCAATGATATTTAACGAATTTTCACTCCGAGGAGTCGTCCCTTCGTTGTCGCTCTGCTCGATCGCGCCAAGTCATTTTCGGCATTACCGAGGAAGGTAATCTCTCTCAACCTGCAATCAAAAAAATACATACGATCAGAAATCGAATAAATCATCGGCTTTTGTTTTTTTGTTTCGTTTTTCAATTGTTTCAATGCAATTTGTATTCATGATCTACTTCTAGTTTTTTCTCTCGCTCTCGCTCTCTCTCTTCGCACACTTTGCATTTTATAATTACTTTATACCACCCACGCACACGTACGTATATATAAGTGGGGGCGTGTGCGTGCCACGAGCACACACACAAACACACACACACGCAACGACATCGACGACGCGCGTCAACCTCCCTATGGGCGTAATGTGAATGTGTACTTTATAATGACTCGAGTACACACGTACACGAGGAAAGAGCGACAGAGCTATGATAAAAATGCCACAGCGCAGCGCTAGCTAGCTATATAGCTGCACGACATTTCCTGTTTTGGCCCTGCGTAAATAACGAGCACAATGCCGGGCCCCCGCGGCCGCATTTACGTGCATCGATGGTAAAAAGAAACTCTGGTATAATGAAGTAATTATACCACGTCGAGAGGTGAAAATGATGGAATTAAAAAGGTTTTATCGTGAAATTATATATCGACAAAATTGAGCGTTCGATGATAACGATCGAAGTTTTTCCTATACGTTCACTTCCGCTTTCAAAGGCTTCGACAATTTGACAAGCCCAGCCATGAAAGCTCAGTGTCACAAATGGGTCGTGATACAATTTCATTTTCAACTCTGACATCGCATGGAATAATAATAATAATAATAATGACAATGCTTGTGCGAGGCAATGCTACAATGTAAGCAAATACATATCTATATCGTACGGCGTTATTTTAGCTGCGCCCGATAAGCCTATACATACACATAAGATGCGCGCAGAGAACGCGTAAGCCGATTTCGTTGGCAGCGGCGGCGCGTACGTATAATACGCTTGCTAACGCCACTCTTTTTCTTATGCAATATATAAATCCAATAACAAAAAGCACGTGCTCGGCGTGAAACGGGATAATTTTTCACTCGTTGTCGGCAAAAAGGAGCTTCCATCATGGCGACGATCGTCAATGAGACCTCCTCGATATCGCTAAATAACCATGTTTCACAACGAGCTGTACATCATCATGATTACTATTATTATTATTATATACGATTACAACCCGTTAAACCAAACTCGTATTTTATAACGATACAGAGAATCGTGGACGCGATGATAAATCCAATCGTCGCGTTTTATACGGCGCTTCGCGGAATTTCGCGGGACGAATGCGCGCCAATTGTCCGATGGTGAAGACACTGCGAGCACGGCGCGCATTAAATCGTTTTATGTCCTCGCGCGCGCGCGTATTATGAGCATTCGAAGACTCTCTTTAGTGCCTTTAAAGCCCAAGTGTACGACACTCCCCTCGCTCTATGCGTACATATACCAAGAGACACACAAAAGCTCATTTTTGATCTAGCGCGCTGATGTATATATTATATATACGCAAAACCAATTAAAGTCTTTATTACGTGCTGCTGCTACGTGTGTGACCCCCTTTTGAGCAGCTACGCCAAGCCAGCTGGCGTACTGACCAGGTAATGGGGGGAGAAAAAAAAATACCGAGAGAAGAGAAAAAAAGCACACAGAGGCAACAGTATATATAAGAATCTAAAATGCCGCGTAGTGCAACTCGCCTGATTCTTGGCCATAAAACTTCGTTGTTGTTCTCGCTCGCTCGCAGAAAGAGAGCTATAATATGCACGAGGCCACAGCATACCTCGCGAGTAACGTAATACATCTTATAATATATTTATTATTATCAAGATTATACGATTTTCTTCTGTGCCGCGCCGGTGACGCTTGCGTTCGAAATTAAAGAAACAGACGACGACGACGACTACGTCAACGAAGAAGAAGGAGGAGGAGGTGGAGAAGGAGGACTGGCCAAGAAAGGAGGGCACAGAAAAACGTGTTGTGCAGTCTCTCTTTCTCTCTCTCTCCTCCTCTGCATGGGCTCTAACGGTACCGTGTGTATAATACACGGACTTCTCGTTTCACGCGCGCGCGCGCGTGTTTATAATACTGCCATAGGTCTCTCTCTCTCTGTGGTCGTATACATATTATATACATCTGCTTAAAGAAACTTTTGTTTCTCACACGTGGAATTCGCGACGCGATGCAGATTTTTTAAAACGGTGGTATGGTGCGGCTGCATATATATATTATTGTAATGCCGCACGCAGATACAGTCGCGCGAAAGTTAAGCCTCTCTTTGCGGGTGAAAGGTATATACCGTATAATAATATTATAAACAAGCTCTCGACAATAAGCCGTGAAAAAGTTGCGGGTGCATTTTAATAAGTTGAGAAGTAAAAAAAAAAGGAGTCGTTTTAATTTTTTTTTGCCCATGAGTCAACGTCTTTATACGCGCGAGCTAGCGAAATGGCCCCTTTTTTACTAATATATTACAGCCTAGGTTAATTCCAATGCCAATCGCATCTTGGTATAACGAACAACGTGCCGTGCTTTAAAAAAGGTATATATTATTTTTACGAGTGTTAATACGCTCGCGGGGAACCGTATTTCAAGCCTTGTCCGGAAATTGCAAAGATTTTACTGTACACGGGTTATTGCGTTCCTTTTTTTAATCAATCTTTACGAGTTTAAATATCGATCGACGCCCAACCGTTGGGAAGAGATACCGATCCGCGTGCGTTGGCGAAAGACAGTTAAACGATCTTGGTTTTATCGTTGTACATCGGTTCGCGTCGAGGGGAAGAAATCATGACGAGCGTGATAACATAATGATGCTGGAAATATTAACCAAAACGCTACATTTATCGTCTTACCGATATTGCGAGATATAATATTTCGTTAACGAAATTGCACGCGTAGATTTACTAGAATCATTATCGTCATATTTTATGCGCGTTGCAAGCTTGCGCACTATGAATCGACGAAAATTAATCGATTCGTCAAATGAAATTTAGAATCGATGAAATCTTTATCTCGAGCAACGATACAATTTTCGTTCGATAATAATGAATGTATATCGCAAAGGTGCATTACAAAAATGACACTTTGCTAACACACGTTCACGCGTATACAAATATACTCGTCTCGGCTCATTTCTCGTCGCGGAGCACTCGGATGGATCGAGGAAAGCGATCGGATGTTGTAGCGCGCAGGAAAAAGCTGCTGTTGCGGTCGCGCGTAAGCGATTACGGGTGTAAGCTTATAACCCGCTATTATACGAACAATTTTACGTGCACGATATAATATACGCCCGGCATTTACCGTAGAGAGATGACGATGATTTTACCAAATTGCCAGGTGTATAATAGAGAGCGTCGTAGCAATTCTAAAAAGTCGTATATATACGCATTCTCGAGCGCATCTCTATTATAATACAAAAGTACAAAGTACACGTAGCTTTTGAAAAGTGTCTGTCAAAAAAAAAGCTTTTTACTAAAAGCTTTGCTCGAACGCGTCTACACGTGCAGAAGTCGTCCGTACGCGACGCACTCGTGTGCCTGTGAGAGGTAGATGCCCCCTCGCATATAATACGTGTGCAGAGCAGCGACGAATCTCTCTTGCTCGCGGCACGTTATATAGAAAAGCGACGCGCAGCAGCGGCGGCCAAGCCATAAGAAATGCATGTGTCCAAGCGAGAGGGAGAGAGACTACATTACATCGAGAGAGAGATACATATAGGCTGACTCTTTTTTAAGGCGCGCGCACGCACAAAAGCTATATAAGAGAGCTTAGGTACGTTTCACGCACGTACACCGCACCATCGCCAGGCTTGTGTATTCGGAGCCGGAAGCCCCGGGTAAAGGATGAACCTTTTTTTTCGGAATAGGACGACGAAGAGTGTAACATAATATATTAACGGGCGAGGGCGATCGATGCAGCATATGCACGAAGAAAACATATAGGAGAAAAAAATCGTGTCTTTTTTGTTATCGATGTTGTTGTTTTGGAATATGGGTGGAGACACCCACGCGTACCGTATATATACAGAAACGACTCGAGATGTTAAACGGTTCGAGTTATTTCTCCGTACACATATACGTACCAATAATAATACAAGTAAGTATATGCCTCGAACAGGTAAAATACAGTGCTTGGAATAACGAGAGGAGAAAATACGATGCACAACGCTCTTGCAACGCTCGGACGCGGATGTTATGTGGCGTTTGTTGCTGTATATATATTTTCTTTATACGCAAGAAGCATGTATGTACGCGCGGAGGATGATCGTGCTCGTACGTGCACACACATATACAGTACACACGCTGCTACCTATAGGTACGTGCATGTGCACCTCGCAGGCTCGCGCGCCGCAGAGAATATAACGGCAAAAAGGAGATGGAGAAACGAGATCGAGCCTTTTATAATTGGACGAGTCTAAAGAGAGAGAGAGAGAGAGAGAGAGAGAAAGAGAAGAGGAAAGGAGCCCTGCGAGCGTGTATAAAGGGGGGATCCTGTATAGAGATAGAAGTCTGCTGCTGCTGCTTCACACGCACTGCGAGCGACGCGCTTCGACAAAGTTCAAGGGCACGCGTGCGGAGAAATCTCGTGCTCACGCGCTCTTATAGGTGAGCATTTAGGATCCAACGAGTATAGTCCCGCGCGAAAAATACCATGTACAATATATTTTTCGATCTTACGAGAGTTGAATCTTTTGATCGATGCGACGCGTGCGACACTATACCGAACGACGACGAAGATCGACGCGACGAGCGATTCAAGCTCGAGCTCCGTTTAAATGCCCGACAGCGCATCCTCCCAGTAAACTTGTCGCCTTTATATACATACAAACTGCGCGCGAATGATAAATACCGGATCGCGAGCCGTAGTGTACGGTCGAGTGTCTGTCTGTACGAGTTTCTAGACACTGTGCATGCTTCTACACACGTACGTACACACACAAGAACGAGAGCCGTGTGTGCGGAAATTCATAGCAATTTATCGTTACGCACGTATACGTTATGGCGGCAGCGCGACTATGGCGTATATATGGTAGCTCGACGAGAGAGAA